ATATGCTCTCTGACTCCCACTAGGCTCCTATATATAACATCTTCCTGGAGCCTGGGTCACCATGGTAATGGGTGTGTGAGCTGTTTTTCAGGAGTTAGAACTCCCTGTCCACTTCAGGCCGGTTGAGACCACCAACTCATCAACTGGGCCCACGGAGATATCCAATAGGTGACCTTTTGACTTCAAGAGGCTAAAAACTCCACCCTCACATGCAGCTAACGTCGCCATTTTGTGAACACGGGTCCTATGAAGAGGCATGAAGTCTGACCACGCTTGCACAGATCATCAATTACCTCACCTTTCCTCACCTCCAATCACCTCTCTCCACATTTCAGACCACCTTGCCCCCATCCCATAAATATCCCTGAGTCCCTATTTTCGGGGAAGCTAATTTGAGGCTCATGTTCTCGCTTCCTCACATGGCTGCCTTGTGAGTAAACTCTCTGCTACAATCTCATTGTCTCAGTGTTTGGCTTTCTGAGCTGCAGGCAAAAACGAACCTAGTTCAGTAACAATTTTCCGTATATGCTTAAAATATTACACAATAAAAGATGTGAGAAATAAATATCTGAGATTAAAAAATCCACTGTTTTTCAGCTGACTAATCTCATCAAACTTCAAATCCCTTTACTGTGAATGAGATTATCCATAGCAGCCTACAAAAGGAAATCAATTTTCTGGACAAAGGCAGCCCACCACTGTATCTAAGGGTGGAAGAATGAAGCCAAGGACAACATCTGACTTTTGGAATGAGAAAAATGCTTTAAATGTTATTTTCTACTTGAACATTAACAAATATCATTATAATACTTGAAGTTACACAAGAAAGTCATCTAACTCAATAAGACTTGGTTCATCAGATCCAAAATGATTTCAATCTCATTATACTTCTGAGAGGGTAATCAACTTGATCCTATTTTCTCAGGACTGTCTCAGTTTTAAAATGGGAAATCTTGTGTTCCAGAAACCTCTCAGTCTCGAGCACACCGGGACAGTTGGCCTCCTTAACTTATGGTCACAACAAAACTTTTGGAAGAGAATTTATCTAGTAAACCATCTAATTTTACAGATGGTAAAAATGAGTACTAAGAAATTAAGTGAATTAAACCACAGTTACACACAACTGCTTTAAGTTACAACTGGATCAAAGTGAGTTCTTCCTTTTGAGAGACCTATTTATAGGTCACTCAACCACAGCCCCTAAATGCCAATTCATCATTGTTCTTGGACAGTTTCCAATATCTGGTTACCCTCTCACTTCTTTCCCACACTCAAACGATTGCCTCACAATATGGGTTCAAGACTAGGGATGCTCCTGACCTTGGAGGAAGAAACTGAGTAGAGGAAAGGAATAGAGGATCCACTTCTTCACGCTGACCTTTGAATAGTCTGTAGGGAAGTTATACACTCTCCTCTCAGTTTCAAAAAATTCTGTATACATGTTTTTAAGATTGGCACCTGAGCTAACAACTGTTGCCAATCTTCTTCTTTTTTCTTCTTCTGCTTTTTCTCCTCAAATCCCCCCAGTACATAGTTGCATATTTTCAGTTGTGGGTCCTTCTAGTCGTGGCATGTGGGACACTGCCCCAGCATGGCCTGACGAGCGGTGCCATGTCCACGCCCAGGATTGGAACCGGTGAAACCCTGGGCCGCCGCAGTGGAGTGTGTGAACTTATTAACCACTTGGCCATGGGGCTGGCCCCTCAAAAATATTTTTAAATGAATTTTCTTTTTGTAATATTTAATGTAAAATAGCATGTTTGTGTACTCTAGAGGATATATAGATAAGTAAAAACACTTTATTAGAGTAGTTATTCAAAGGAAGGGAATACAGAAGGAAAATCTGCTCACTTATAGTCAATGTCACCAGAATGCAAGGCCCTAAAACTACATAATGTTTGCAACAGTACCTAGCACAGAGTCCAACACATTGAGGACATTACTCAATACATTAGTTTCCTTTCCTGAGCAGTGTGAAAAGACGACACTTTCCACATCTCTCAATTTCTTCTTGATTCCTCTAAACTAGCCACTGAGCAAATAAAGAAGAAAGCAGCCTAATAAGAATTTTCTATTCCTGCAGAGGCTTGTACTTGTGTTTAACGAACCCACTATCCAAGAGCAGAAATAAAAGAGCTGCTTTCAATTAATCCACAAAAACAGTCATCTATGTCCAATTTAAATTTGGACCTGCCCTCACTTTTTCATAACCCATCAGAGCATATTTACAATGGCTTCTTTATAGCTAAAAAACGTAACAATGAGATTCTTTTCCTCTTTCTTTGGGGTTTTTTACAGTATACCAGTGCAGAATGAATACACAGACTTCATATTTTTCTTCCCCAGAATTTTTTTCATACAATCTCTCCTTTCAGTATCGACATTTCTCTGGGGTAAGAGAGAGAAGAACAGAAAGAACAGCAGAGTGAGTCTGGAACTAGAAAGCACAGTTTTAAGTTCCAGGACTGTCATTTAATTTTCTGTGTGAGCTTGGACAAGCACTTAAACTGTAAAATGGGAATAAGACCAATCCCATGGTAATTGGAAAGTATAAGAATGTACACAGAAGATCTCTGTAAATTGTAGAAGGCAATTTTAAGGAGATAAACTTATTTGATATCACATTATCAATAGGAGAGTCAAAATTAAATAAATCAGGCCTGACTTTCTAGACAGTGCTGCCCTTAATAGATCTGGAAGGTACCACTGAGAACATTAGCGCTAAAACTAACCCATGAACACACATAATTATCAATAAAAATCCTGTGTCAATTGTACCTCCTCAACAGCACCTTTTATTTCAATTTATCAGTCACTAACATGTACAAGAAAGGCAGAAAAAAATACGAAGCCCCATAAAACCTAAGTGTGAAGGATATAAATAATATTACATTAACAATGGAGAGCTCAACATATGCTGAGCACAGTTCTTTGAGCTGGGGACACAGGAGCGAACAAAACAGATTACGGACCTGGCCTAGAGCAGCTTACAAATAGCAGGGGGAGGCAGGTAAACAAATCAACAAGTAAATAGACGGTATGCTAGAAATACTGGTAAGTGGTATGCTCGAGTAAAGCAGAGTAAGGTTACAGGGAGTGCCGGGTGGCAGGGAAGGGAGAAGCAGTCAGGAAGGCAAGGTCTCACTGATAAGGTGACTCATGAGGTTACCTGAAGGAAGTAAAGGGAGCCATCTGAGAAGAGTTGGAGAATAACTCAGGGCCCAGAGGCAGAACGGTGGAAGCAGCTAGTGAGGGAGATGGTCATAAGAGATAAGACAGAGATGGGACCTTAAAGACCAGATGTTACTCCAAGATAAGATGTCCTTGGACGGTTTGGGGACAGATGAGTGACATGTAACTATTGTTTTCAAAACTTGTTAGTTGTGGAATCTTTTGGTCAAAAGTATCCACAGATGATCAATAAGTAAAGTAGATAAAATAGGAGCGGCTCTGATTAAGGAAGGGTTACCCAGAGACCTGAGTCTGCTGTTCCCAGTTTTCCTCTTCCTCCTCTGACGTGACAGTTTAAAAATGATTACAAAGTCTGTAGCATGCAAACTTTCATATCCTGTATCCAAAAAACTTCATAATTTGGCCCCATCCTAACCTTTCAAAAAGCTATTCCTAGGGAACAGCAAAAAGGAATAAATCAAACTGCTGATGCACAGTAGAGGAGCAAATATGTTGCCACAAGTCTCTGTAACACCCTTATCAACCAAGCACCAAGGCACAGGTGCCACAGTCCTGCTCCCTTCCCCCCCACACCCCTCAAGCAACATACTACCCATTTATAGCTTGTGTTCCCTTTCAGGGCTTCCCTTGATATTCATTTTAACTTGATCCCACTTGATTAAAAATATTCTAGCAATACTCTGTGATCTGCCTCTGATGACTATCTCCAGATACAGCCTGTCAATCTATATTCTAGGAAAATCCTTCCTCCACTAGTGTTATTTCTCCCACCAGCAATGACTTCCCAGTTTGCTCTGTTCTAATCCCGCCCACCTGTCAAAGCCTACTTGGCAAAGCCTCCCTCCCCACATTCTGACCCTTAGTTGGAATCATAAATCTTCAGAGTGTGAGGGGAACTTCCAGGCCAGGCCATCTAGTGCTCTAAAATTTATTGCTCATTCCATGGACTAACTCTGCAGATTTGGCTGGCAGTCTTCCAGTCTTTGTAACTGCTTTTAGTGACAAGCACACACTAGCCCATAAGACAGTCCATGTTCTTTCAGACGTATAGCAACCGTGAGAAAATTATTTTTACTGATCCAGAACCTGTTTCCTTCCACCACTAGTTCTGCCCTCTGGTTCTAACAGAGGAAAGTCTGACACAACACCCCACCACACCCCCAGCCTGAACAGCTTAGAGTTGGCCTTGTGTTTTCCCCCATTCCAGCTCTTCCTTTAAAAATCCTACCGATTTCCCAACCATCCCACAGGCCATCTGTGGAATCTGCATTCAATTTGTAATGATCGCAGGCAGATATGTCATCTGTACGTGTAGCCAGCGAAGCGTCTCTGTGTCCCATGCCACGGATTACACCCTTTCCCTGATCTTCTCCTTTGAACTCTCTTAGGGCTCTACACTTAGCCTTGCATTCATCATTGCACATTGTGTCAATCAGCATTTACTGAACACTGTCAGGAACCATGCCAGGTACTAAAAAAATAAAAGTAAATAAAATGTACTCAGCCCACAGAAGAGTAAGAGCAAGACAGGTAAAACAATAAATAGCTGGGGAAGCTGGAGAAGGCTTCAATGGAGGAGGTGACATCTGGGCCAGGGAGAAACTGTATCAACATCCATGAGTCACACAGCCTTGGGTCCCCAGCACCAAAGGGGACAATGTTTTGCTCTCACTTGAAGTTCAGCAAATATGTAAATTTGGTAAAGCAGAGAAAGCCTGCTCAGCCCCCTCAGCCTCTCCCGGAGATGAGGGCGGGTGAACACTGACTCCACAGTCTGTCAAGGGCAGGTGCAGACGCTCACACTGTACCTGACTACGTACGCTATTGCTCAGGTGGTTGTCCTCAGACATCTGTGCATTCTGGAAGTAGGACAAGGGTGCAGGTAACTCTGTCATTGGAGCAACTGTATAGAAATACTTTTTCACAGAAAACAAAGCCTCCTGGGGTTCTGAAAAGGGAAAAAGAAAACAATTCTTTGGGCATTACAATTATACGTTTATTTTAAAACACTTACAAATTACGTTTAGCAAAACAAACCTTTCTTTCATGTGTTCTCTTCCAGGCCAAGCTTTCTAAGGACCTCGACGGCTGCTGTCACCTGCAGGCTCCCGTATTAGGTCTGAAATAGGATTTTACCAGGTCACTCAGAGTTGATCAAATCCTAGTAAATCCATTCACACCAATCAAATACTTATAAGACCAATTTGTAAACCAGGAATGTATTAATTTCCCATGACCTTCAAATGATAAACTTTGTCAGCTCAAGATACCTCTTTGGTAATGAGTAAATCTACTTGAGATACCAAATGTTTTCAATCACAAAGATGTCCAATGATTTCAGATTTAGAGCCACGGTAGTTCAACGATCTTAAAGAATGTTTTCTTCAACATGCTGACCAATCCAAACTAATTATTATATCTTCATAAAATTATTTGTCTAGTGCTTTTTGCAAAATTCTATTATCTCATTTTATCCTTAACACAATGCCCCAAAGCAAGGTAAACAGGTAACATACCTACTTTACAAAAGCAGAAAGGGATCCAAGCTCAGTGACTTGCTTAAAGTCACAATTGGGTGCACCAGGACAACAACCAGACTCCTGACTCCCAGTCTCAGGTCTCTCCTCTGCACCTGGCGCAGCCTTATTTACACACATGACTGTCTCCCAGAGCTCACCCTCCTACAAGCACACATTGCCATTGGCCTGTCTACCTCAATTTCCATCAGCCAATTCTTTATGATTTCAACTTCCCTTTTCATAGAAAGTCTTCGGAAACACAGAAGGAAAAAAATCTGTTTGCATCCAGAAGTATTCTAATTCATATACACTATCTAAAACATTACTATGTACACATTCACATGAAAGCATTTTGTCAATGTCCTGTTTCATTTTCACTTTTCACTTCAGGATTCTCTACCCTCTAAATACTCTATTGTTTTCATTCTAATGATTTTTCATCAAAGACATATAAAGTAACTTTTTCCTCTAGTAAAGGCAGTGAGTTTCAAATTAACCATCAATTATCTATATTTGGATCATTCAAATCATGGAAAGTTTTTAACCAAGGTATGCTTTCCTTTCTATCCTACTTGTTTTTATATACCATGCCTACCTTTCTCCTCCCCTCCAACTTCAGCCCATAGTTAGCTGGCATGTGATCAGGGGATTGCAAATTAATATTAACTAAACAAGACATAATTAACTAATGTAAATTTGCTTTAAAAAGAAAGTGAATTAGAAATAGAGATAACTTACTTTTATGGGGGTTACTCACTGGCAGGGGGTACACGGGAAGCTTTTGGGAATATTGGTAATGTTCTGTTTCTTCATCTGGGTGCTAGTTACACAGGAGTTTTAGTCTGTGAAAATTCACTGAGCTCTACACCTATGTATCTGCACACATTTCTATATACTTCAACTAAAAAATTCAAATAGATTTTTGTGGAAGTAAACTCATATTTAGGGTTATTCGTACCATTGGTCCTCTCTTTCAAAATGGATAAAATTAAGACGTGGCAATATGTACATTAGCTTACCCAAAAGAGAGGAGCACTGCAACAGACCAGTTATACGTATTTTCTAAGTACAATAAGTATTCAAAGTAAATGTTCTGACCTATGGGTCTAGATTTTTAAAAGTTGACTATATACTTGAAACTTTAACATTCAGGTGATTAATGATGAGCAAATAAAACACATATTATTCCCTTCTTTCCCACAAAAACATTTAGTACAATATCTACTACCTCAGCAAACCCAGAAATGCCAAAAATGATGGCAAACAGAAAAAGCTGCAATTGGTTACCTTCACTGGATGCTCTGAGGACTATACCATATCATTTAAAGGCAGCTCTGTAACAGAAAACCCTTAGAAACCTGTCATTAATTTCTCATATGCGGGCTGGCCCAGCAGCGCAGCAGTTAAGTTCGCTCACTCCACTTCTACCACCTGGGGTTCGCCAGTTCAGATCCCAGGTGCAGACCTATACACCACTTATCAAGCCATGCTGTGGCAGGCGCCCCACATATAAAGCAGAGGAAGATGAACACGGATGTTAGCTCAGGGCCAGTCTTCCTCAGCAAAAAGAGGAGGATTGGCAGCAGACGTTAGCTCAGAGCTAACCTCCTCAAAAAAAAATTCTCATATGATCTCTCAGAAACAAAAGAAGTAACAGTGTCAGCCAAATGAAACAAGCAAAGGGCAAGAAAGGGCAACGCAGGCAAAAATAAATAAGGAGTAAATGAAATGAATTATATTTAGAGGGAAAATATGAACAGAAGTGACTACCCATTCACTAAACAAGAGTTTACTGGCTATTTATATCAAAACTCAGAGAGAGATGCTGAGAGGATCTGAATAATTAGTTATGTTCCCTTTACCCATTTTACAGATGAAAACAATGAGGCACACAATTTCACTAACCTGCCCAAGGTCACATCCAGTAAGGAAAGGAGCATGGCAAAGGCTCACATATTACACTGTGCTGCCTCTGTGTAAAACTCCATCTCTGCTCTTTAGGAGTTTGTAACAATGACTAATAAGATATACAGAGCTGATATTTATTAATAGTAAAACTAATGCTTAGAAGTAAATGAGATCTTAAGAAAAACAGTAGTAAGTGACATCTTAAATAGTTTCCATTATTAGCCTTATGCCTGTAGGATCTGTTCAGCCATTACAAGAAATCATATAAATTGATTATCATATTGGAGCTTTCTCAGACAAATCTCGTAAGAATCATCAATAATACAGTAGTCACTTTAGCATATCCCCAATACTATTTTTCAAAGGCATATCTGTATTTACACATGAATTAACTAAGGCCCAGGAAAGGTGAAAGAATTTGCCAGCACAATTATGGGGCAAGTAACACCAGTTCCAGAACCCAGGTCTTCTGATGCCCAGCCCAGGTCTTTTCCAGTTCACCCAAAGAAAGCTCATGCCTCCACTGATGCTTTGAAGATCACAATGCTACAGGGTGACCCACCCTGGAAGAGCTGCTCTTCACATGGAGCTCAGCAGGAAGCAGAGGCAGGCAACAGGACTAGCCAGGTCTTCAGTCAGGCCTGGTGAACAAACAAACATTGTTGGTACAAAGAAAGGAGAAGCCAAAGCCAGATTTGACTCTGGTCCAGGAACAGCTGAAAACAAGTGATGACTGCATGGAGAAGGCCAATGATCCCACTGTTCAGGGAGCGTGACAAAAGACACTAGTGGACTTTATAACCTTCTTAGCAGTGCCCTGAGAACAAGAAAAGACAGTTGTCGGGAAGCGAGGATTTTTCATGTGACCTGGATCGCAGAGGGAGTAGGAGTATGGATGGAAGCGGATTTTGGTGTTTTCTCTTTCTGGTCACCTGCTAAAGATTTTCTGAGACTGACAGAGCATAATACTTGAATTCATTGCCATCCACTTCCTTTTTCTCAAAACACTTTCTCAATCAGATAAAAAGAAAAAGTAATCCTTTTCTGATGGGCAACTACATTTTCTTTCTATTACATACAAAAAGACTTAAAAAACCCCAGGAGAATACAAATAATCTTAAAGCTTAGTTGTGCTGGACAAAAAAATCTATCTAACCAGAAAATCTTCTCTCCATCAGCACTTCAAAAAGTATCACAGGAGCAATGCTTAGAATCTCAAAGTAAGCTTATTAAAAATCCCATTTAAGGAAGGGTCAACAGAAAAGTATATGTCTGTCTCTCACTACATCCCAAAGCAACAACTAAACCTCAAACTCTTACAGCACATTTACTTAATTACTGATACCATTTTCTTTCTTCACTCAGAGATAAATGTAAACAAAATTTATATTCCACAGAAACAAACATCTTCAGGAGACTTTCTATCATGATCTTCTCCAGCACAAAGGGCTTGTCGCTTGCTTTAATGACTCCAGCCACTTAACTAGTTTCTCTCTCTCTCACTTAAAAAACCACAGAAAGTACTTTTTAAAAGTATCTTTGTATTGTAACGCTAGGAAGTTTTCAAGTGCCAAATGAGCTTGTGATTTGTTCTTTTTCCACAAAAGTTTTAATCAGCCTTGGTGTTACTTTGACAGCTTGTTCCTGGACAGGCTGCCCAAGTTCTGATTACTGTATACGGATGGGCTGGGAGAGCCTCTACTTGAGTTTTTAAAAGCTCACATCCAACAATAAATGTAACCAACCTCCAAACTGCATTCTCTAATTAAAATTAATAAAGACAGGCCCGTTGGTGTAGTGGTTAAGTTCACACACTCCGCTTCAGCAGCTGGGGGTTCACAGGTTCAGATCCCAGGCACAGACCTACATGCTGCTCATCAAGCCATGCCACGGTGGTGTCCCACTACAAAACAGAGGAAGACTGGCACAGATGTTAGCCAGGGACAATCTTCCTCACCAAAAAAAAAAAAAAGAAAAGAAAAGAAACTAAAGTAAAACTAATTTGAAATTAATTTAAAACTTCAGGAACACATCCTGGAAAGACTCCTCTGAATTTTAAAAGAATAGGAGCAAATAATTTCCCCAACGCTGTAAGAGGTTCTGTGAAAGTGGTAGAGCCTAAAAAGAGCAAGGCTAGTGATACATCCTATTTGGTGACTTTGTTCCCCCTTCCGTCCCACGCCACTTCTGTGAACCATCTGAGGCAGATTAGATGACTATTCAGCAAATACTCACGCCTTCCCCCAGCATCCTCACGGGAAGAATATACCTCTCCTCTCTGGTGATATTGGACTTGGCCCTCTGACTTGTTTTGGCCTCAAGGTGGGTGCAGTCTGCTACCCACTCCATGCCTCTGGGCACAATCATACGACTTGTTTTGGTCAATGGGATCGTAGCAGAAATGGCGCAAGCAGACACTTGAACTGTGCTTGTGCGATTGCCTTGTGCAGAAGTTGTACTTCTGCACTTCTGCAGTTGCTTTGAGAAGAGCTTACCGTGGGTAGCCACTGCCCCTTCAGCCTGGGCCCCAGAATAAGACATGCAAAGCAGAATTGCCCTAACTGACCCAGAGACCTATACCTTGAAGCAGAGCCTTGTGTGAGAACAAATGCTCTAAGGCACTGAGTTTTGGGAGCTCTCTTATGTAGAATTATCATAATTGTTGTTAAAAAATAATGGTTATGTTGGGGCTGGCTCCGTGGCCGAGTGGTTGGGTTCGCGTGCTCCTCTGCAGGCGGCCCAGTGTTTTGTTGGTTCGAATCCTGGGCACGGACATGGCACTGCTCATCAAACCACGCTGAGGCAGCGTCCCACATGCCACAACTAAAAGGACCCACAACAAAGAATATACAACTATGTACCAGGGGGCCTTGGGGAGAAAAAGGAAAAAAATAAAATCTTTTAAAAAAATAATAATAATAATGGTTATGTGGGCTCAGAAGACACAATAAAAATGAACAAAGACTTATAAATCCAGGATCCTTTATCTGAAACCCTTAGGACTAAATGTGTTTAGAACTTGTATTTTTTTTCGGATTTTATAAAGGTAATATGATGCAAATACCATATGTTTTATAATGCCCCTTCAGGGTCTTAGATAGAACCACAAAATCAAACACATTAATAAATATATAGTGAAACATATAAGTAGTCTATACATGGCTTCAGGTTAGATTTTGCTGTCAAATGAATCATGAAAAGGCTTTTGGTTTTCTCAGGGGGTTTTGTATTTCAGAATTGTGGATATGGGACTACGCTCCTGTATTATCAATATTTGTATAATTACAAAGAATCTTTCCAGAAAACATTTAATTTCAATAACTCTACATGGAAGGTATGATTACCCCGAGTCATTGTCTCAAATTTGCTGTGGAAATGGGTAGAATACAACTAATCTTTAATGAAAAAATAACTACATCTAATTAATTTGTAAATCATTGGGTATACTCAGCAATGCCTGCATTCTCTCTTTTGTTTTAGATCAACTTAAGGAACTGTACAAGGCATTGTGAAAAGCAAACATTAATTCCCTTTAATCAAACAAACACAGGGTTTCTGCTACAGACACTATAATAGGTGCTGGGGATGCTACTGAATCAGATAATGCTCCTGTTTATTTAAGGAGCCTACTATCTAGAGAAGAAGACAGACAAGTACATTTTTATATTAATTATATGTTGAAATAAAAATATTTTAGATGTATTGGGTTCCATAAAATATATTATTCAAATTAATTTTACCTATTTTTTTCCTATCTTAGAAAAAACTGCTTATTAGAAAACTTAAAATTAACATTTGTAGCTCACACTGTGTTTCTACTGGACAGTGCCGCTCTAAATCTTCAGTTCTTTCTGCTACATCAGGTCTAATATTGAAAATCCCTGACAACCTTTTCCTTCCTGAAGCTTCCCTCCCTTCCTCAGCTTTTATGACACTGCACCGTGGAGGTCTCCTCCCACCACTCATTCTCAGCTGCTTCCTCACCCTTCTCCCATCCCCTCATTACCAGTGTTCCTAAGGGTCTGTTAGGGCCCCCTTCCTTTCCTTAGGCCTCTCCTCCACCGCTCCAACATCAACATCAACTAGTAAGTCTATTTAAGCAACTCTCATGTTTACAGCTCCAGGCCTGTCCATGGGACAATTTCAACTGCTGGCACTTCAAAAGTGATACTTCCAAACCACTTCCTCATCCTCCTCTCTAGACTAGTTCTTTGCTCCTAACTTCCTTATTTCTGTGATCATTTCCCTCATCCTCCAAACTTAAAGCCTCCTAGTCAACTTTACACTTGATTTGCTGCTCCTCAATTGGTGGCTACGTCCTATTCATGTTTTTCCTCCTTTCTAAGCCTCTGCCATCATCAAAGATCAAACTCTCATTATATCTTGCCTGAATTATGCAAAAGTCTTATCCATTCTAGCCCCAACTATCAGATTAACACGCCTAAAGCAAAGCTCTGATGACAACAGTGCCACACTTAAAACACCTTCCAAATCTGCCTGGCATCTACCACACCAAGGAAAGGCAGTATTAGGGGTCTTTTGAAAGGTTTTTCAGAACATAACCAAAAGAAGTCAGTCTCTCCCTGCAATCTGATATAATGGTAGTGGGAGAGCAAGAGGAGAAGAAACCTGGATCTGAGCAAGAGGAAGAGGACCACATAAGCTTTGTTAACAGACAAATATTTTATCTTTTTTTCTAGGATGACACTCAGATACCAACTTCAAAACTTCAGTTCTCCCCAAATGGAAATTCATGCAGCAGTCTAGGACTAGCAGCAGCCATTAACTTAAAATTCAGCAATAAATTATATCCATTCAGAGGAAAGTATACCCAGAACTGGGAGAACTGTCTACTCAAGGACCAGGAGTAGAACAGAAAATCAGATGACAGATGTCATTTCTATCATCTATGGGCGGGCAGGGGGAGATCCATGCACTCAATAAATAGGCCTCTTTTGTAACTGTTAAGGGCTTGTTATTAAATGGGAGTGGAGCTGGGGGACTTAAGTTGGTTGAACTCTGCAAATGAGTTAAGGAGAACTGAAATAGGCTTTTGCAGGTGACTGAAATCAGCCAAATGCAACAAGCTCCAATCTACTTTCCTGTTTTAGCCTCCTTCCTAACAGTTATTTAATGTTCAGAGTGGGTTACTGGACGCTCACGTTCCAGAGGGTCCCTGTTTGTAGCACATCCTCTGATTATAATGCCCTCCCCACTTCAACTCCAAGGGTGAAAACCTTCCCATTGTAAAAGGTAACTCAAATAACAAGATTCCCTTGACCAGAGGTGATCTCTACCTGCATCAAACTTCACAGAATGTTATGACCTCTACAATGTGCTCTGTCAAATACTTATAATATATGCCATATAGTTATTTGCATCCTATTCTTATCTCCCATAGTAAACCTTGAATACTTTATTCATCTTGTTCAAAGCAGGCAAGCAATGTCTTTAAAATTATTATTAAATCACTTCCCTAAAAGAAAAGCAGATATTTGAAAAGAATCTGAGCGGGAAGAAGACGCAAATATCTAAGATATATGCAAAGCACGGGACATAACGCCTCGTGCGTGACACTCCCAATCAAGGGAAAGCATCAGACCCTGTTTTGCCCTCGGGCGTGAGACATAAGGAACTTAGCCCTGAGTGCCGCTCGCTTCCCCTGGACAAGGACACAGTCGGGGCATGAGGCGCGGAGTTTCACCAGTTGCTCAACCAGACCCGCGCCAGGCGCTTCCTCTTTCTGCTGCTCCACTCCAGTCAAGACGGTCAATCCCGGCCCAAGGCACCTGCGCCCTGAGATGACTTGGGGAAACCAGCACTTCCGGACCAAGGCTCCGAAGGGGAATGTCTCTTCAACACGACCGCGCCCCGCGCCCGGAGCCCGAGAAACGGGCCGCCCCTCCTCGTTCCCACACGGGGTTCCTCGGTCCCCGCTCGGCCGCGCCCCGCTCCTCATCCTCGAGGACACCGGTTCCGCGACCCGGGCGGCGACAAAGGGCCGGGCCCTGCCTGCGGCCGCCCGTGTCGGCACCAGGTGAGGGGTTCCTTCGCCTCTCCCAGGACTCCCCACCACGCACCTACTCTTTCCTCGCCTTTCCCGCCGGCCGCTCGCAGCTGAGGTTGCCCCCCGAGCAGCGGCTGTTTTGTTTCCGATGTGAAATCGCAGCCTCTGTAGATGCCCGGCCGAGGCCCCGCCCCAAAGGCTTCACTGGTGTCGTCATTTCCGGCTCTGGCGTCGTTGGCTGCCGGTTCGCCAGGGGAGGGGCGGGACCTGGAGGAGGCAGGGCGGGGCCCACCGGCGGAGGGGCGGGGCCCAGATGCAGTGTGTGGGGCTTCCGGTGAAAGCTAGGACAGCGAGGGGAATCCTGCGCTCCCGCCGGCCTCCCCGACCTGGAGGAACCCGCCCGTAGTGCCAGCCTGAGTTTGAGGTTGTCGGGGATCCAAGACTGCTCTTGAGCTAAGGACCAAAGTTTGTACGTAAACTGAGCCCAGCGTGTGCTTCTCCAGGCCTCCAAGTGATGGCATCTTAAATCTAACGTTTCTTTCGTTTCTCTGTAGTACCTATTTTGTACAGTTTCTCAATGCGAATCAGCTGCACCACAGTCAAAATGACGCTAATTGAATTGTAAAGACCTGTGCTCCGCGCCCCTCCCCCCCAAGAATCAAAACTTCTGGTGGGTGAGGAAATCTGAGAAACTGCCTTTTAAACAACCACAGTCTGGGATTCTTGGGCTCCAAGTTTAAGAACCAGTCTTCCTATACAGTAAGCTTCTAGAGAGCAAGAAGTGTGGCCTATTTTTGTAATCCTAAAACCTAACAGAGTATCAGGTACACAGTGAGTTGCTCAACGGTCGCTTGATTTTTGCATCTGCCAGCTTTTCATCCAAACTGCAGTAAAGACAGTACCAATAGCTAACTCCCTAAGTAGCATACCACATTCATACAAGCATCTGAAAGTTAAAGTAAACAATGGATACTACACCATGTAAACCAAAGGTGAGCAATAGAGAAATGTTCAAAGTTACAGGTAATCAGAAAACTGAAAATGAAATCAACGATACATGGCATCTGGCCAAATGAGATTTTTCATTTTTTTAAATTCCTCCAAGATAGCCCATCAGATTCCTAGAGCATCAATCCCCAATCCCTCTCTCCCTCCACCCCATATATGAATAGACTTAAATAGGTTTTACACACAACTTCATATTTAAAAACAGAAGTAGCACTAGTTTTTTCCATTAACAAGGAAAAGATAAGTTGGGGGAATAAAAAGGTTGACACCTCCCACCAAAAAGGATATTTTTTAAAGTCCTCATCTCCGAGCCCTTCTCTCTGTAAACTTCACAAGGGTAGGAACTTTTGCCTGTCTATTCACTTACATTTCGCAAGTGCTGAGAACAGTGCCTAGCACAAAAAAGAGTTCAATACATTTGTCAAACAAGCACAAGCCAAAACCCATTGATTTGTGAACTAGTTCAGTTTTTTTTAATGTAATCTGGTAATATGAGTAAAAGTCTTAAAACGCTGACAGACTATTCTTAGAAACAATCTCAATACAAAAATTTTGGGCAAAGATTCTCATGGAGTAATTATTTATAGCAAATATTGGAAAGCTAAACGTCCTACAATAAATTATGGTTCACCCACTTCACAGAATGTCATTAAAACTATTTATAGGGGCTGGCCCCATGGCTGAGTGGTTAAATTCACGCACTCTGCTTCGGCGGCCCAGGGCTTCACCGGTTCGAATCCTGGGTGCAGACCTAGCACCGTTCATCAGGCCATGCTGAGGTGGCATCCCACGTACCACAACTAGAAGGACCCACAGCTAAAATATATACAACTATGTACTGGGGGTCTTTGGGAAGAAGAAGGAAAAATAAAATCTTTAAAAAAAAACTTTATAAAGATTATGCGTAACAGAAACATTCTTATGCTGTTAAAATAAAAAACAAAGACCTAAGACTTACGCACATATGTAAATACAACTATGTCAAAACACATTCCTGCAAAAAGGAAAGAAAAAAGGTAATAAAAAAAAGCAACCAATGACTTTGAATAACTGGATTACAGATAATTTTTTCTTGTTTTCTGTATTTCTTCATCTTCTTACGAATACGAACACCTAGGATTCACGGAGGAAGAGGTGGCAAAAGACACTGGGAATAACAGAGACTGGAGGAATAAGGCAAAAGTGATATCCGAGACACTAAGGAAGAAGAGTCCCAAAGAGCAGATGTCCCTAGTGCTGAGATGAACCAGGGATTAGCATCTTACAAGGTCACCGAGTCTCACTTAGGCTATGACCAGTCATCAGGGGAATGGTGAGATACAAATGCTGTGTGAGACTTGAGAAATTTGGAAGGCACATACAACTATAAGCTACTCATTGTGGAATCTCTATAGTGTAAGGAAGAGGAGATAGGATCCAAGGTTAAGTTTTTGGTTCTTTAAACTTATTCTGGGGGCTGGCCCCATGGCCGAGTGGTTAAGTTCGTGCGCTCCGCTGCAGGGGGCCCAGTGTTTCGTTGGTTCGAATCCCGGGCGCGGACATGGCACTGCTCATCGAGCCATGCTGGGGCAGCGTCCCGCATGCCACAACTAGAGGGACCCACAGCGAAGAATACACAACTATGTACTGGGGGGCTTTGGGGAGAAAAAGGAAAAATAAAAAATAAATAAATAAATAAATAAATAAACAAAAAAACTTATTCTGGACCGAAGGAAGAAAGAAGATAATGGAAATCCTTGAGCAAGGCTCAAGAAACTGCAAAATGTAGTTAGAAACCAAAGCCAGCGGAGTGGAGGAGGTCTTCGGAATAGGATGGATGAAGTATCTATCATTGATTATAGAAAGCAAAGATTTAAGATGCATGAAGTCATAAACTGGAGAGCTAGAGCTGCAGAGAATGTGCCTAATGACTTTTTTTAAAGTTAAGATTGTGTTAAGCTTGAGAGTTATTCGCTAAGTAAGGGGGAAAATCAAATGTTTTTTACTCATTCAGTGAATGTTTTTTCCATACCAACAATAGCACTGGAGGTTCAAAAACAGTAAAAGCTGCCGTGTGTGGGAAGGCGCTAAAGTTCAGCAAAGGAATGAGAAAAATAGCACTGAGGGTCCAGACTATCTGCAGTGATGCATTTATATTTTCCCCAGAAGTGTTGTTGGAACTTGGGAGCAAGAATGGAGAAACAAATGATAAACATAATAAATGGTGGCAGAAACCAACAGTTAAGTTGTGAAAGACAAGCAGACAGGAAATCCAGAATGCCTGACGGATTAGAACCACTTGGAGGCGGCAGCCTGTGAGAGACTAGAGAGGCCAGAGCAGTCACTAGTCCGTAAAGTCAGTACCTGGTCTATCAGAAAACCAAGGCCAGTTCTTTACACCACTGACTACAAGGCAACCCAATTCATTAACACTTCCCACAGAAAAGCAGTCTGCCTTTATTTATACACAATGTCACTGCCGTGTTTCCTATGGAAGTAAGGTGGAACTGAAATACAAGTGATTATTGTTAGCAGGGCTGGGTCCTTGGCCGCATTCTCACTCATTAGCTCTCACATATGGATCTGATTCTTTGCAAGGATTGGCCTCCTTAGATTGGGACCTGCTTAAGATAAAAGGCTGGCTTTATCTTATTCATCTTCTACTTTTTAGCATTCAGCTCTGTATGTTTGTCACTATTTTATTAAATCTAATTTTCTTCTTAACCAAAAACTTGGGACCTCTTTTTAAAAAACTTGCCTATCAATAATATACTCAACAAAATGACAATTTAATATCCAGCTTTTCCACCTACAGTAACAAGTAGTCAAGCCTCTTCACCTGGGTATATTTGCCAATTTATAGCAACAGGAAAAAATGAACATTCATAGGTACCGTATTCTACCATGTAAAGTGTTCACTAGGTTTTTTTTGGTTATAAGAAACAGGTAAAACAGTTGTTTAGAACTATTTTTAAATTCACACAATATTTTTTGCTTCAACCAAAATTTGCTAAAAATGCTTCCTGTGGGGGCTGGCCCTGTGGTGTAATGGTTGAGTTCAGTGCGCTCTGCCATCAGCCGCCCTGGTTCACAGGTTCAGATCCCTGACACAGACCTACACCACTGGTCAGTCATGTTGTAGCAATGGCCCACACGCAAAATAGAGGAAGAATGGCACAGACGTTAGCTCAGTGCTCATTGTCCTCAAGCCAAAAAAAAAGAGGAAGACTGGAAACAGGTGTTAGCTCGGGGCAATCTTCTTCAGCAAAAAAAACAAGAACAAAACCTGCTTCCTGTGGGGGAATTTTAACACTTTCCTCTGCTCTTAGGTCTTTATCAGCATCTAGACAAGACCTATTCAAAGTAACTTCCTGCAATCATAATGCTCTATAATCTGCAATGTCCATCCAATATCAGTAGTCACTAGCTATATATGGCCAAAAGCTTGAAATATGAATATTGAAACAAAAAAACCTGTATTTTTGGGGCCAGCCCTGTGGCCAAGTGGTTAAGTTCACAAGCTCCGCTTTGGTGGCCCAGGATTTCGCTGGTTCAGATCCTGGGCACGGACATGGCACTGCTCATCAGGCCGTGCTGAGGCAGCATCCCACATGCCACAACCAGAAGGACCTACAACCAGAATATACAAGTATGTACCGGGGGGGCTTTGGGGAGAAGACAAAAAAATTAAAAACCTCTTTTTAATTTAGTCACACGTGACATTGGAACACTTGAAATATGGCTAACATGATTGAAGAACTGAGTTTTAAATTTTAACTTCAACGAATTTAAAACTTTGATAGTGCAGATCTAGAGCATGAATTAGAATCCCATATACAGGCCTATAGATACTCCTCTGTTGAGAACATTGTGGCAGTGTTGCACTGGGTAGACAATGTGATCTCTAAGGTCCCCTCTACGTAGTACCACCTCTGCTGAGAATCTTCCTATTGTCCCTTTCCTGTTGACCTTGAAGTTAGTTCATCCAGTCAGACAGTTCGTATACAACTTTGTATATATATCTGTTAATGTTCCTCTCAATATTATTTCTTCTCCACTACTAGACTGTCAGCTACGGGAAGCATCTTATTTATGTCTGACTCCACCTAGCTTATAATGTGAATGGCACATACTAAATGTACTTCAATGGCTAAATCTAAGTTTTATGTAAAAAACAGAAGGGTTGCCTGCTTAACAATTCAACTACTACTCTGTGCACAAGAATCTAAGTCATCGATCCAACTAACGTGATGTGGCTGAGCAGGCAGACTCGGAGTGTCATTTAATTCAAACAACATGGCTTGAAAAGAATTTTTATTTATTTTTGTTTATAGAAGTTATCTTTTCTTCTTGGGCATTTCAGATTGCCATTCTTAATTTGGCCTTCATGAGTCAACTAATAAAATGAAAGGCAAATAATCTGTCAAATAGAGATGAAAATGTAAGCATTCAAATGCAAACAAATATTTCAATAATATAACATAATAATCACATTTCAAACAATCTACCAGGTTATCAAAACTTATAAGCTCACTTTGGTGTATAGTATGAATGTAATAGTAATAGTTCCTGTGTTGGAAATCTGTATGTGAATTTCCCAGTTTTCTTCCTGACATGTGGAATGACTGTTTCTTGGCCTAACTGGGATTCCTTCTCATACGCTATATACCCAGTGGCATGCACAAATCAATTTCACCATCTTTTGCTGGGAAAAACTATTTCTCGATTTCATATTGTTAGAAGGCTGAAACACGATCTGGAAAAATCTGAAACTATTTTGACATAAAACCTTTCAGCAGTTTTTGGGTAGAAAATGGAAACACAGAACTTACTAGAAAGAGCTGGGTAAATAAGCCTCATATACACATTGCATCCCTGCTTGCATTTATTTGCATTAAAATTTTTTTTTATTCATTATGAAAGGAGAAAAAAATGATAGTGCTTAGTCCAATCTGACTCTCAAGCTCACTGTTTTCTCAATTTGTCCACCATATCTAGTATTCATTAGATGTGGTTAGTACCTGAAACGGGACGCTCCACAAAATAATCATTAGCCTCTCCTAATACAGAAAGTTTATCAGGAAGCACTATGATAAGATTCAGAGTAAATAACAATAGAAAGCTCTCTAAGGAGAAAATGTTCTGGGACTGGCATTAGAGTTGTTCTCAGGCATCATTTTTGGAAGATTATGTTCATGAACATACATAATACATATCTGTTTATTTGCCTCAAAATATTTTTCTCTTTAAAATCTACTTAAAAAGAAAATTACACTACTTTTGCGTAGTTTGTTAGGGTAAAATACTAGTACTGAGCAGACACCTCAAACCGCTAATCAAAGTATAGTCCTTGGATCAGTTAGCATTGGCATCATCTGGGAGCTAGTCAGAAATGCAAAATCTCAGGTCCTACCCTAGCCCTACTAAATCACTTTGCACATTAACAAGATCCCCCAGGTCATTCAGGTATACATTAAAGTTTGAGAAAAACTACTTCAAATAATTTATCTTTCCTCTGTAAAGATGTACATATTTTAAATTATTTTATTTGCAGGATCAAATGAGGAAAAAACATACTAGTTTTCTAACTACTAGATCAAGAATGGTTCTCAAGACTTTCCTATAATTTTATAATTACTTGAATGGGCAACATGGATTAACTAAGGTTTCCAAACAGAAAATAATCTATGGCAAATGGTAAACCCAGGAAGCTCAAGCAATTCAGTAGAAATTTTCTTATGTATATTCTCCCAGACACTAAAATATGCCAGTTTATACATGTCCAATTCTTTATAGACAAATCTGAAAAACAAGAAACTCCAAAAAACCTTAAAGTTAAGCTTGGTGGCAAAATCTGACTTGAATTGATATTAACCTATTAACGTAGCAGTCTTTAACCCAGTGACTGTTCTCATTCCTGTTCTGCTACAGAAACGTTAATGTATGAATTTGAGGTCCTGACACAAATCTCACTGGAGGTGTTGTGAAGTGTATGGTATGTGCGCCCCAACGGTTTCAGATAAGAGTCCTTTAAGATAAATATGGTGAAAGAACAGAAGAGACCAAAGCAAGAGAAATTAAATCTACCTGAATAAACTTTCATGTTAATGCTGCCTAAATAAAACAACCTAATATGATGCCTTAGAAGTAGTAATATGGTAAGAGAAGCTAGTGAGGCGTAATAAACTGCTTCAAAAGAGTGTTAGGCTGGGCATGAATCTGAGAAAAGGCTAGTAAATGAATCTGTAAATGGCAAGGAGCATGTTTCTGAAATTTTCCCTTGAGAAACCAGAATTTAAAATGTTCTAACACTAAAAGGGGGCACTGTCCATAGATGTACAGATTAAACCAAAATAAGGTAAATGGCCTCTGACTTTCAATTACTAATACTCATAAAAATCAAGTCCATCAAAAATTCAGCCGATATTTTCAAGTTAAGTTTCTAGTGAGCACCAAACAATTACCACGTGATGCCATTTATTTAACAAGACTCTGAAAGAATGAGTCCCCAAAATCAAATATATACATTTTTAATAGTTGAAATATTTACATAATGGAACCATGTCATGGTCCAATGGTAAGAACAGTGTTTTCAAATGTCCTCTTAGGATGTAAAAAAAAATCTAGTAACTCAAGTTCAATTATGCATTTTTAACACCACCCCCCCATCTTTATCTTTCTTTTAAATAAATACTCAGACATGGGAATAGCTGCACCTAATTTATGTTAAGAACTGTTTAAAAAGTGTTACATTTTCAGGCAATTTTGCTCCCTGGTGAAGTTCTGATCTATAATAAAGCAAGCCCCATGTATGTCTCTAAGAACACCATCAGTATATTTTTAAACTATGATGAGCAGAGGTAAACAAGGTGTGTGCGTGCATATACACACGCAAGATATAAACCTTTTACAAAACAAACAACTAGTGGTAACTGCCTTAAATGAATTACTTTATCCTTAAAAATAAGATGTAAACTTTGTAAATTACCATGCTGAATTCTGTTTTGTCCAACTTTCCTAGTCTGTAAAACTGCCTAATTTTATCTTTTTTTTTTTTTTAAAAAAAAGGGTTTTTTTCAATTACACCTTTCGAATTAAGTTGCTTTTTTTTTTTTAAACAAAGGCGTACATCAAAATTCAACTAAGGACCAATTAGTGCAAAAATGCATCAATAAAGCTCTCCGGAATCTAAGAATCTGCCTCATTTCTGACCAATGAGATGGGGGGAAGGAGGGGAGGGGAACAGGACGGGGACAGGACACGACACTATGATTCACACTCCCTTAAAAGAGAGGCTGACAACAGGAAAACCCCATTCCATTCAACAGACTATAGCCTGCCACAAGAGAATACCATGCTCTGAGAGACTAATAACCTAATTATCCCAGATATTTGGGTTGGTACAATACCATGCTTCCTTTACAACTCTATTCTCCAATTAGGAAAAGTTTAAGGGAGAGCCCTCCAAAGCAAATTAGGAAAGAATAAGACTTTTATACATACATTCACACAAACACATTCACACAGGGATACAGTAGGAATGGATTGTCTGCTAATTTTCGCACTCTAATTTTAAATCCCATGCCTTCACAAGGGCTTGCCATTTCTGATCGAGGGGGAAAGGGTAATAGGTGTGACTGGAATTCTTTCAATTAAAATCGTTCATGTTGGTTCCTATACAGTACAGTTCAATATTAAGTGCAATTCTGCAAAAGAATTGGGGAGTCATTTTAATATTTACAAGGAACAAATCAGCAGAACAAGATTATATCAGATAGGCTGTGTACAGCAGCTGCGGCTTATAAAACATACCAGTAATTTGTACCTGGTGAGTATAAACAGAACCAAGGCAGGATTCAGATGTCTTTACAACCAAGGGAGTACACAGAGCATCAACAAATTAGAGGACAAAAAAATTCACATTTTCTACATTAAAAAAAAAAATTACAGATCTCACAAATGTCTTTGAAGACAAAGAAAAATTCAAAGTCCTTTGAAGGATGGGAAAGAAGAAGAAAGCTCAAATGGAACTCTAAACGCAAAAAGAGTTTTACTTCACAAGACCAATTTTCTTGGCTTCTGTTTCATATATCAATAATCTCCACATTTTGACTATAAAAACTTCTGCTTCTTCATCAAGTACCTAGAAAAGAAAAAGAGAAAACATAAAAAACAGTAACACATGTAAGATAAGCTATCATCAGCATCTCCCAACAATATTGACTGGTATAAAAAAGGCTTTTATCTACCAACAAGCATTTACTTTCAATAAAATGACTTGAAGGAAATCTGTATTTCCGTCTATGAAACGTATTGCATAGTAAATGTAAATTACCTTTAAAAAAAAAGCATTCAGCCAAATTCCATGGCTTACTAAATACATCACAGTACTTTTCTGATCCAATATTTATTCTAACTTTTACTTTTAACTTTACAAATACTACATTTATACATGTCTTAAAAAACTATTCCTTAAGGAAAGCAAATGTTTATTATAAAGAACATAGTAATTTAAGCAGAACTAGTTGTACAATTACATAATAATATACAGAGTATCTCATTAATCTCCAAAACAACTTTACAATCTTAATACTTATCGAGTCCTTACCATCTATGTGACACTGAATGAAATATTAAATGAGAATAAATACAAAGCACTTACTACAGTGTCTGGGATACAGTAAACAGAATAAGTGAACACTACCATCATCACAAGGGACACAAGACTACTGAATAAATAGTCTTTTCCCCTTGGCAAATGAATAAATCAAACTATCTTCCTATCTACTTATGAGTTAGGTGTATCACGTCCTCACCACTACTCCTACCCTCCTCCCACACACACATTTGGCCCTCTACACCAGGGCTGCAATGAGGCAAAATGGACTATCATGCTTCCTTCTACAGGACGCAGCTATCACTGAGCTCCAGAGTACTACGCTATGATGGAATTGTGGCCTAATGTTGCCAGGACTCAGGAGAGGCAGTTTAGGTTAGAAGCTAAGCAAACCAGATCTCAAACCAGACTATTTGGGTTCGAATCTTCTAGCTCTTACTAGTTAAGTGTCCTTGGTTGGGTTACTTAACCACAAGGAGCCTCAGTTCTCTCATCTGTAAAAGGGAGGAAATAGTAGCCACATCATACTGGTTCTACTGTGGGAATTAAAAGAGTTAATATGCACAAAGTGCTATGAAGAATGCCTAGTACCTAACTGACCAGTAAGAACCTGACAAGCCAGAAATTTTGATTTTTTTAAGAAATTTCTCAACGACGACAATTTAATCAGCCTTCTATGAGCCAGACTTGAAGAGCAGTTCAAAAGAACTATGCTGCAACACTAACGTGGAAATTGTTCATTGGAAATAATATTAATATAGGCACAAAACACAACCGAAGTTCATCAATTCATGTAAAATGAGGAAAGATACAGTAGAAAAAGTCAGGTTTTTAATAAGAGCAAAATACTACCTGAGCTAAAATTTCAATTTCATTTATTCAGGAAATATTTAGAGGGTCCATGAGCTTTTATCAGAACTGGGTGACAATACTAGCTCAGTTGGTTTCCTCCCACTCTGATCAACAATGAGCCAGAAAATGATCAAAAACAATATAAGTGATTAAGCAGTAAAGAGTCTAACTAATTATACTCCAAATATCAAAATATTTCAACAGATCAAAGTGGATTAACACTGACAAATGACATCTTCACTGACAGTGATTACAACTCTATCAAGGCCAAAAAGTAGAATAATGATTTTTTTAAAAAACTTCCTGGGCTGGCATGGTGACACAGAGGTTAAGTGTGCACGTTCCACTTCGGCAGCCTGGGGTTCGCTGGTTCGGATCCCGGGTGCGGACCCATGCACCGCTTGGCAAGCCGTGCTGTGGCAGGTGTCCCACACATAAAGTAGAGGAAGATGGGCACAGATGTTAGCTCAGGGCCAGTCTTCCTCAGCAAAAAGAGGAGGATTGGCAGCTGATGTTAGCTCAGGGCTAATCTTCCTCAAAAAAAAAAAATTTCCCCACCTCAGCTTAACTATGAAACCTTCTCTCTACCCCACGGAAAACCTTTTAAAGAAGCTGGAAGGTCAGGATGTTCAGACTCTAACCCCAAGGACTGGGATCTATTTACATTTCTCCTTTCATCTGAGGCTCAGCATTATGGGGGTCAACAAACTTTTTCTTTTCCCCAAGATTTTTTTTTATTTTTTCCTTTTTCTCCCCAAAGCCCCCCAGTACATAGTTGTATATTCTTCGTTGTGGGTCCTTCTAGTTGTGGCATGTGGGACACTGCCTCAGAGCTGGTTTGATGAGCAGTGCCATGTCCGCGCCCAGGATTCGAACCAACGAAACACTGAGCCGCCTGCAGTGGAGCGCGAGAACTTAACCACTCAGCCACGGGGCCAGCCCCCATGGGGTCAACAAACTTTTCACAAATGATTTATCAGGAATTCTACACAATAGCTGCATCAGACTGGCTGAGCAGCAGAAAATGAATTAGCTGGCACATTGTCTAGAGCCTGGACAAGAAATAGCTCAGTCGAGCTCCTTTGGTTAAGCACCCCCATGTCCCTCCCTGACAACTTTGACTGCAGCTCAAAACCCAAGTTCCCCCAATCACCTGCCGTTTTACATCATGCTCAATGTTTCCTCTTCCTGACTCATCTTCCCAGTGCTACCTTCCCACTCTGCTCACTAGACCCTTATTCCACTTCATACTAAGAACCCTCGGCTTCTTTAATGAATCTTTCCACATCTTTACCTTAACTGAAAACTAGGTATGTCCCCTGAAGACCCTGACACTCCTGAAGCCTTCTCAGGAAGTTCCTCGCTTTCCCAGCCTTAGTCTCCATGGTGGGGGGGGGGGGGGGGGAGAAGCTGCTGGAACTGCACTGTTAAAATCCTTGTAAACAACATCTCCATCGAGGCTCATGAGACCTCACTACACAGCCCTTTCACTCCAGTAGCATCTGTTTAGCAAATACCTAGTCTTTCACCCACATTAAATGAGTGCTCTGACACCTGGTCTCCTTATTTCTCTCCAATCCCTGTCTCAACACGCAGGAATTTCAATTTCTATGTGTATGAGCCGGGCTTAAATTTTGTTGATATTCTAAACAATGACATCAGCTCTACCCCAGAAACTCTTTCCCCTGGCCATATCTTGCACCTTGCCATAATACGGACTGATCCACCACCTGTATTCTTAAACATTCTACTCTGACTAAAACCTCTTTTCAGTTGTTTCATTCTGATACACCTCCCACAACTTCACTGGACCGTGAGTCCTTGATTCATTCAAATCACCAGCTCTATTCTGATATTACTTCCTTCTCTTCCTAGCTTGGAGTTCGTAGTCTATTCAATCACACTCACTTTTACCATCAATTCTCTTCCTCCTTCCTTTTCTCACAAACTCACAATGTTAGATAAATGGAACCAGTGACTCGACTCTAATATCCAAATTAAATGCAACTGGGGATTTGATGTTTAACTACTGCAAACCCAACAGACACCTGTCCAAGTGACAAACGGTTATATATTTTCAAGTCTCAGTTTAGATGGTAATTCCTGTGATGCTTTTCCGTAACTGCCCTCCACACCACCAGATGCTCTATCTCCTCTGCTCCCATTATCTTTTTTATTTATCCCCATTATAGCAAGTATATTACAGTATCAATATTGGTACACCTGTCTCCCTACTAGTTCTTTAAGGGCAGATGTTCCAGCTTTTTATGCTTATAGCACACTGCTCTACCCAGTAAGCACTTAATCAATGTCTTCTAAATATATGAATAGATCCAGGATTTATATTTATACATACAAGCACCAAAGGTAGGGGAGGGGGAGAGACAGGTGAAAAAGAAAACTCTTAGTGTTGTTTAACGATACCCTGCTGTGGGGGCTTTTAACCTCTTTTAATGCACATTCAAATTTTAATTCAAGCCTATAAAAAGAAAGATTCTGGAACCAAGAGAGGTAGAAAAACCATCAAAATCAGAAGATAGTTTGTTCACATAGATATTAAAATAATAATAGAATGAATTTCTAACTTACCATGGCAACATCATCTAAAATGCTCTGAGGTGAACTATGAGCCATAACCTAAAAGAAAAAAATAATTATCATTTTGAAAATAAACAAAAAATTAGCAATACAGTCAGGAAATTTTAAGGTACCCTCAAACTAGTATGGGAACTTCTTGTGGCTGAAGAACCTTTCTTTAAATTTCTTAATTCCCAGAATCTCACTCTCTTCAATGTAAGTGTGACACCATAACTTGGGATCTTAATCACTATAGTATCTCTTACAATTCAAATCTAGACTGACTGACAATTTTCAATGCTACAATAATTACAAGTGGAAAGGCAACCTAAATTTCCTACTTCTAACATTAAAAAGAGTAGTACTGGTAGAAAAAAGGCATTTCCTTAAAATGCAATTAGTTATTCCTTTACAGAAATATGGTGCTTCCACTATACAAACTGTCTCATTAAAGATAGGACTTCTTTCAGGAGTCAATGGAAGGATGTGGTATCTGTTGATGGTTAAGAGCATGAGTTTTACTGGCTTGGCTCTGCTACTCATTATGTAACCATGGTCAAGACAAAAATCTCTCCCTAAGCCTCAATTTCCTCATGATAAGATGGGGACAATATTAGTTACCTCACACTTCCTAAGGTTGTTGGAGGTTTAAAGAAGATAAAGTCCTATAAAACGCTTAACACAGTCACCCCAAGAACAAATTCCAGCAGTTAATCAACAAACACTGACTATTATTATGCTACGAAGGGAACCATTTTGCTCCTCTTCTAAAGGATGCATGACTGACAAAAGAATCAATGAGACAAGCTTTGGCTGTCTCCACAAAGCTTCCTTAACTGTCCTTCAGCAGTATTCTAACCATTAAGACAAGAAGAGGGTAGCAAGGCATTCTCAGGGGCAGGGAGAAGGCAAAATTTGGCAGGAGCCAGCAATTCTGTTTTCCATGACGCCCTGAAATGAAAGCATTGTGGAACGGGGGTTTGAAAAAGAGAGGAGGGGTACTCAAGTAGCCATGAATTTGTTACTTGAAACTAAACTATCTGGCCCCTTGGCCGAGTGGTTAAGTTCCCATGCTCCACTTCGGTGGCCCAGGGTTTCGCCGGTTAGGATCCTGGACACAGACATGGCGCGGCTCATCAGGCCACGTTGAGGCGACGTCCCACATGCTGCAATGGGAAGGCCCTACAACTAGAATACACAACTATGTACTGGGGGGATTTGGGGAGAAAAAGCAAAAAAAAAAAAAAAAAAAGAAAGATTGGCACCAGTTGTTAGCTCAGGTGCCAATCTTCAAAAAAAAAAAGAAAGAAACTAAACTATTATGGACTTGACTGTGAAAGATTTTTAATTTTGGAAAATGTCTAATAATTTAAAGTATAAAACCAATGTTGGAGGTGGAGGGAGTAAAAGACTAACCTTAGAACAAACAAAATCAACTAATGTAGCTTCTTCTTCACCTATGTATTCTATGATTTTCTTATTAATCCACGGTCTAATTCGTCGCTCCATCAATATCTGCAAAATAAAGCATGATTACTAAATTAAAGAGCCTTTTACTACATTTAGTAAAAAGTCTATAACCTCGTGATTTTTCTTAAGACTAAAATGTAGTATGATCATTCACAAGTTAAACTAAGACAGATACGTATGAAGATACAATTATTTGCTTTTAACTTATGAAGATTTTGAGTACCACCAAGAATTCCCCCAATAATCTACTAAATTCCTTGGCCATGCAAGATTGAAGCCACATTATCATCCCTACTTGTCATTAACAGAGTCAACTGAGTTTTGTATGCTATATTCAAAACAACTTCCAATAAAATGATGAAATACAATTTGCTACTCACAGAATCCACAATAGACCAATCCAGAGGATAGGCAAAGAGCTCAGGTTTGGCTGTAGGGATTTTCTCGATGAGACTCTTAATGTGTTTGCGCTTTTCTTCAGTGTTTACAGTGCCTTTGGGAGCATTTTTATCATCTTCACCATAATCCAGGGGAACCAGTTTCCTTTTTCGGGGTACGTCATCACTGTCTTCATCCTCAAATTTGTTAAAGACACTATCTACAGGGAGCTTCTTTCTCTTCACAGAATTAGGTTGACCAGGACTATTGGAAGCACCTATAGTAAAAACACTGTATTAGCATGATAACTTAATTTTCAAATGTTACATTTTGCAACCCTCCATCCCTCAAAAGCAGTGCAAAATATACTTCCAGAAATCTCAGACAAAGATCCCAACTGTAAAAAAAATAACTCACTACTCACAAGTGCTAGAAAACTTAACTTTTCACTTCTTCTCAGAACTCGAGGAAGCTGCAAATATAGGAGCACTAGTAGAACTATCAAAACAATCGTGAGCTAGAAAGCATTTTTAAATATTTTTCTATCTACCTACCAAGCAGCACATATTTATCTTTTCCTTAAGGCAAAATTTAAGTATTTGCAACGGGTTGGGAATAAAGGTAAAAAGGACGGAAGGAAATGCTAACATACCCAGTTTAAGACTTAGTCCTATTTTTGGCCTATGCTCTTCAGGTTGTTGTTGATCTGGTGAATTTTCATGAGGAATAATAATACCACAGGGAGACTCATCCCCAGGAGTGTTGGGGGTTGCATTGCCACTGGCAGAGGAAACAGATGGGGCAGAACTGATGGGCCTCAGAGTTGGTTTGAGGCAGGGCTTTTGCTCTGGCTCTTCCTCCTCTTCCATGGGTTCCTCTCGTTTTTCTTCCTTTTCTTGCTTTTCTTCTTCCTCTTCCTCTGATTCTGGTTCTTGCTTTATTTGTGGTTGTCTGCGCCTCTCAGCCTCTTGTTCCATCTAAAAACCAAAAGATGATCTCATTAACTCAAACAGATCAAAACCATACTCAACTCACCCAGCTTTATGTTTTACTTTATCTTTCATAAAATCTCTATTTTTCTTTTTCATTAAGAATAACAAAACACTGGGGCCGGCCCTGTGGCTGAGTGGTTAAGTTAGCGTGCTCTGCTTCAGCAGCCCAGGGTTTCACCGGTTCGGCTCCTGGGCACAGACCTAGCACCACTCATCAGGCCATCCTGAGCTGGTGTCCCACAGGGCACAACCAGAAGGACTTACAAGTAGAATATATATGCACTGGGGGGCTTTGGGGAGAAGAAGAAGAAAAAACAGAAGACTGGCAAGAGATGTTAGCTCAGGTGCCAATCTTTAAAAAAAAAAAAAAAACAGTAACAAAACACTGCCTGCTTCTATAATCAGACAGCTAAGTAAATCTGTAGAGTATATTAGGTACTCTGCAAAATGTTTTAATATTTTACATATACTACCATTCTTTAGTGGCTTGTATAAACTCTATAAGTGATAACAAAGATAAATACATAATAGTTAATTCAAATTGAAAAAGCATGTTTTTATATTTTTATTAAAAAATTTAGCACCAGAAGCTTTATTTTAGAACAGTACAGACAATATATTAAGAGTCAGCGCAAATCCTCAGCTTGTTCATACATCATTTCTTCTTCCTAGGTTAATGGCTGAGGGTGGAAGTCACTTTCGTATTCATTAGGGAAAGGAAGAAACGGGCGAGCGGAAAGGGGAAATTCTGGAGCCAAAGGCCTATACTAAAATGAATACTCCTCCTGAAATCATGACAGAAAATGAAAAAATAAAATAATCATCACAAGAGCATTATAAAAACTTTGAAGAATAGATCAATAATTTTTCCGAGCATGAAACAAAAACAGAAATATGTCTCCTGAACTACATAAAAACTCAACATCTATGCATGACATAACACCTTCTAATTATCAATTCAAAGGAAGTACAATGACCATTAAACAATCCATAAGACATTCAAACCCACTGCTGGTCAGAGAATTAAAAAATAAAAATATCCCCAACCTATATGTTACAATGGTAAGGATTTAAAAGACTGACAATTTGCCACAATAGTGAAGGTATGAAAAAAGATGTGAGGGCCATAAACTAGTAAAATTCTGGGTGGAAGACTATACTCGGTTTAAAAGCACATGAGAAACAGCATGTAAATTGTAATTCCATTTATAAAACTTCTGTTCAAGGGGGGTATATGTATACCTGTGTGATGACATTAAAAAAATAGCCACACATTTATTAATGATTATAACTGCTGATAAGAAATCAGATGGTTTTTAATTTCTTCATTATTGTGTTCTATGTTGCCTGAACTTTCTATTTACTCATGTAAATACCCACCTTTATCAAGAGAAAAAAAATCCCACTATTTCATTTTGAAAAATAAAAGGGACATGTAAGGAGACATGGTTTCGATTAAACAGCATATAAGAGAGTTTAAAAAGTTGACATTTATAAATTATTAGATTTACAATATATTAAGAACTAAAAATTTTCCTAAAATGACACTATTTTTAAAAGGAAGAATGGAGTATGCCATGTGCTATGACACAGTCTTTTCCTATTTTAAATGACAAGCTGTTCATGAAAACAGCTTTAATTTATTTTGGAAACAAAATATTTAGGGTGGCAGTGAGAGAAGGAACTCTAACCACAAAAGTTATTAAGTGTCAGAGTATGACAGGTTTCTAGCAAAGTTTCATTAAAAGACATTCATTTAGGGCCAGCCCCAGTGGCCTAGTGGTTAAGTTCAGTGCACTCTGCTTCAGTGGCCCAGGTTCACTTCCCAGGTGCAGACCTACACTACTCGTCAGTGGCCACGTGGCAGTGGCCCACACACAAAATAGAGGAAGATTGGTGATACATGTTAGCTCAGGGCAAATCTTCCTCAGCAAAAAAAAAAGACATTCATTTAACTTAATATTTCACCAAAACAAAGGAATAAGACACCTGGAAGATGTTTAAAATAATTAAAGTTGTAAATCAACTAATACTCATGATTTGTGTAACAAAGTCCTAATATTCTCAAAAAAACTTGCAAGATGCATGGAGCATAAAGTGCATTTCCCTTATAAACTAAATTCTATCACAGCTGGCTTAAGATGACAGGATAATCTTAAAAGAATGTTGTTCAGGATGTTGGAATATCTCACCCTCTGGAGTTCTGCATCTGGATCCGGGTGCCCTTCTGCCAGAAGGCGCTGCCTGATCTCCTCTAGCTCTTCCTTCTCTCTTTTCCTATCCCGTTCATCTGCTTCCATTTCCTTTTCTCTATCACGCAACCTCTTCTGAAGAGCACTTCCTCTGCAAAAGTAAATCATAATAGGCCTTATTTAACAGTCAGAGCATCATCATTATTACATGTCTCCAAAAGCTCTTTCTTTCAATACTAAAAGCTGCATGCTAAGAGACTGAAGACTGTCTTAATCTTGTTATCTGTGCAACACCCAAGACAGCGTGCTCTCTACATGTTAATGTCTAGTAAGCATTGTCTTGTCATTTATCACCATGCCTCATTCTTAAGTCATTCTAAATAAGTGTCTAAAACAAGTAGAAAAGTAGCTTTGGGGGGGTGGAGCTCTCATTTTGTGCCTATTCCACAGAGAAATCTCAACACATAATTTGTGTTTCCTCGGATGCCAAAGTTGTGGAAAATTAATAAAAAGAGTAGTAATACTACTAAGAATAGTTCTGTATTTTAAATTTAAATCAATTCTTCCCCTTGTGGAAAAAAATCCGAGAAAGAAGTTGTACAGAATCAACAGAAAGCAGAGGTTCCATCTAGTAGTTTATTATATCTCAGAATGTTGAAATTATGTACAGCTATTTTATGAATCAATAATTTTATTGATTTTTAAAATTTCCTACAAAGTCAAATTCTTGGCATTCTTCCAATTTAAGCTGCTAATTCCAATGTTTTAATTACTTTGGCTACAGTGTATCAAATTTAACTATATATTAAATGCCTTAACTACATGCCTGGATCATGTCAAGCACATCAGAGATTAAAAAAATCAAAATACTGTCCATATCCTCAGGGAAATTACAGTTTGGAGTGGAGGGAGAATAAAACAAACAATTTTACCATAGTGCCATAAGAGCTAGAAGGAAATGCCACACAGGAACGAAGAAAAGAGAGAAGATAGGCTTTAATTCTCACTTCACAATAATATATCAGTTGGGTGAGGGAGGGGGCTGGGGGTGGAAGGTATTCAGATTGCTATGTAACAATTGAAAATCCTTGAAGAGAAAAATTTCTAGATCACCATTATAAAGATTAGTTAAAACTTGCTCTAAAAACTGGACCTCTTTAAAACATACGAAAAAAAATTAATTTGTTATACTATTGTGGACTTTCCCCCCAAAAAGATGCACAGAATTATTGATCCTTTTCCAACAACTCTTCTCTCATCTCCCTCCCACCCTGAAAACAACACAGCAATTATGAGGGTGATTATAAGATGGAAGGTGAAGATTTCTTTCTCTCTTACTCCACTGAGTGAATTTGCACTCTCTGGTAGATAAGGGGAAATACAGCGAAGAAAGAGCTGAAAGCATGAGTTCATAAAGCAAGGCTTCTTTACCTGTAATATTTGGGATCATCTCTATCATCATCATAATCTTCTAAGAATTCTTTCAGTCGTTTAGCTTCTTTTGCCTTTTAAGAAATGAATGAGAAAGTGTGCAAAAATAACATAAAAGTCCTTTAGATTACCTCCTTCTCTTTTCTTGGGAACAGAGTTTTCTTATCATACTGCTTGAACTTTATAATATATTTTCATATACTTCATATATTAAATAATATTAGATTTTTTATCTTTTATTGATGAAATGAAAACTACACATAGTGTATTACAATAAATTTCCTCTCTGAATATAATCTTCAAAGTACAGTAACTATTTTCTAATGAGACCTGAGCCCACCAAGAAACAAAACTGAATGTGATCTCATTGAATCTGTTAACTGGACAAAAATATTTTATATTTCATTTGTAGGTAGACAAAGCCATAAGAAGTGGTTTTTATGAACTGCAGAATTACAAATTTAAATCACATTCATGCATTAATCTACAGGTAATGCCTACCTAACTTTGAGTACACAAAGCATGAAAATACATGAAATCTCTTACTCCTATTTTTAGAATTTCAAATAGAACAACTATTATATTTAACAGCAGTTATATCTAATGATTGTATGCATACTATATAACTAAATACATATTTATAATGTAAATCTATATCCATTATATCAACAACTATTATATCTATATACAAAGCAGATAATGGTAGGTTTCTGACTACAGTAAAATTTTAACACATTTCATCTAGTTCAAATGCTACCTCTCTGTAAAGACTTCCCCGATCTAACCATCTATCCATGGCCAACTCCTCACCCTAGGCAGAATTAGTGGTTCTTTTCTGTACTCCCAAAATACTGTGAACACATCTTTATCATACGTTAAATACTCACACATGCGCTACAGTAACGACCTTATCTCTCTGACAATACTACGCATTTGTTTCAAAGTTAGAAGCATTAGTAGTTACTCTTCTATGCCCAGTACCTAGCACAAGGCTGGTACACAATATATACTCAAAATCTGCCAAACGAATGAAAGCCGTCAGGTAGCAATGACAATACTTACAAAATCTAAACAAAACAGAGGAAGGCCCAAAAGGTATATACTAAAATATAAACGTAAGTTACTACTCTTGAGGAGTAGAAACTTTCACTTTTTACATCACATACTTCTGTTACTTGAACATTTTCATAATGAGCAAGTAACTGCTTTTGTAATCAGATTTTTTAAAAGTTCCCAAATAAAAATATAACTAATAGGAAATTTTTCTCTAGAAAGACAGGTTTCAGATTTGCTTGTAAGAAGCAAAATCACTTCAAATTGATTCCACAATGTTGTTGATGGCAAACATTTCTTCAAATAACTATGTCTCTTACTATTTTCTAACCTACAAATGAAAGAAATTCTAGAATGGGAGCTACAATCCATGGAAATTAAAATTACTGTAAATAATTCTATGATGTTAGAGGAGCTACTATCTGGAAAACCCATACTGTCTATCTAGTTGCTGCATGCACCCTTTTGGTTACTTACAAAAATTCCCTCTATGTCTCATGTTCAAAAGCTATTTGAAGAAGATTCCTAACTTCAGTGAAGTTTTTGGAAGAATAATCTCCAAACTGGAGATAAAGAAACTTTCATGAAATTCTGGCAAAGACAGAACACATGGAACATACTACTGAAGCAAATACTATGATAAAATAATCTTGTCATTTTACTTAGTAACAACCTATGCCAATTGCTTTACTTACGTTTATCAGTCAGTGTAAATGCAAACAACAAGATTCATTTTTTATGATTATCATGTAGTTCAAAGAAAGGATAATATAGTAACATAAGGGAAAACTATAACTCATAAATGTTATATACAGAAGACAATCATTTGGATTTATAAAAACAGGTCTTCTCATGACACTATTTCCTTCATCCACATGTACTACACCAATATAGAACAATATCAAAGCCTACTCAAATTCAAAAATGTTGCAGAATCTTAAAGAATGTTCTATAAATTTTCATTTATGTACTTTGACAGTACGCTAAAAGATAATTTTGTTTATAGGTAGCAAAAATGTGACAAATAGGAGGAAGAAAGATTCTGGTGTACTAAAATTGTCTCAAGGTTACTTGACATATATAAAAATTATATTATATAGGGAGCTTGTACATTTTAATTATAAAATTACTTCTAGTTAAAAGTTAAGATTTGATCTGATTTTCATCTGAAAAAATCACTTATTTTTGACCTAGAATATTACCATTTCTCTTCTTCTTTCTTCTTCTCTTTCAGCCTCTTTCTCATACTCCCGAGTTTTCTTCCGTTCTCTGATTTCCCAATTCTTAAGGCGCTAAAAAGAAAATTGTCAAAGCTTTCAAAATGTACACAAAGGATTCTAAAATTTTTGATTAACCTACTAAGCACCAAGCTTTAAGAATAAAAGCATTTCCGGGATTGGCCCTAGTGGCTGAGTAGTTAAGTTCTTGGGCTCTGTTTCCACGGCCCAGGGTTTCACCGGTTCAGATCCTGGGCGCAGACCTAGCACCACTCATCAGGCCATGCTGAGGCAGCGTGCCACACGGCACAACTACAAGGACCTACAACTAGAATATACAACTATGTACTGGGGGGCTTTGGAAGAAGAAGAAAAAGAAAAGAAAAAAAAAATTGGCAACCGATGTTAGCTCAGGCACCAATCTTTAAAAAGAAAAGAATAAAAGCATTTCCTTAATTTACCTCCTGATAAGCAGCTTCTTTTTCCCGGAGTTTTCTTTCAAGTTTTCTTCGTTCATATGCATCTTCTTCATCCTCTTCTCTGTCTCGCTTCTTGTCTTTCTCTCTCTCACGCTCCCGTTCCCTTTCTCGCTCTCTCTCTCGCTCCCGTTCTCTTTCTCGTTCCCGTTCTCTCTCTCTCTCTCTTTCTCGCTCCCGTTCCCTTTCACGATCTCTGCTCTTTTCTCTACGTAAACAAAAAATTAAAAAACACCAGTCAGTCTTCTTCCTGTTTTCTTTTAAAAACCAAGGGAAAGGAAGACAACATATATTATGAAACCATATACAAACTCACAAGCCAGAATTTAGCGTTTGATTTCTGCACAACTGTAAACTCCTCTAAGTTCATATAAGAAACAGACCATAAACCTAGCCTCAAAATCTGAATTCTATTCTAAATTAAAAGTTAATCCTTATAGGTATCTCAGAAAACAAAAAAGCTTGGATATAAGAAATACAGGGGTCAGCCCAGTGGCATAGTGCTTAAGTTCTCACATTCTGCTTTGGTGGCCTGGGGTTCGCAGGTTTGGATGCTGGACATGGACCTACACACCGTTGTCAAGCCATGCTGTGACAGACTCCCACATATAAAACAGAGAAAGACTCGCACAGATGTTAGCTTAGGGACAATCTTCCTCAAGCAAAAAGAAGGTTGGTAACAGATGTCAGCTCAGGGCCAATCTCCCTCACAAAAATAAATAAAAATTTTTAAAAATTTTAAGAAGACATATAAAGGGCTAATGAACACGTTAAAAGATAATCTACTTCATTAGTGATCAAGGAATAAACGTGTTGTTGGCACAGGTGTGGAAAAAGAGCATTTTGGCATGATGCACGAATAAATTAGAACTATATATCAGGGGCCAGCCCCACAGCCTAGTGGTTAAGTTTGGCATATTCTGTTTCAGTGGCCCAGCTTCACAGGTCCAGATGCCAGGCACGGAACTATACCACTTGTCAGCCATGCTGTGGCGGCAACCCACATATGAAATAGAGGAAGACTGGCACAGTTGTTAGCTCAGGGCTAATCTTTCTCAAGCCAAAAAAAAAGGAGGAAGATTGGCAACAGATGTTGGCTCAGGGCAAAACTTCCTCAGAAAAGAAAAAAAAACCCAAAATACTAGGGGCCAGGCCCATGGCTGAGTGGTTAAGTTCACACGCTCCACTTCAGCAGCCCGGGTTCGGTTTGGATCCTGGGCACAGACATGGCACCACTCATCGAGCCACGCTGAGGCGGTGTCCCACATAGCACAACCAGAGGCACTCACAACTACAATATATACAACTATGTACTGGGGGGCTTTGGGAGGAAGGAGGGAAAAAAAAAAAGAAGATTGGCAACAGTTGTTAGCTCAGGTGCCAATCTTTAAGGGGAAAAAAAAACCCTACATATCAACAATGAGACGTTCTCAAATATTTAATTCAGAGTGATAAAATGAGACTGCAGAATATATAGAGTATGATGCCATGAATCTAATTAAACACATATATGTATACACATTTGAAAGAATATATTGTTTATGGATTCATATCTGTAGTAAAAGCATAAAAACACTGGTTTTATACATGTCAAATTCTCAATAATGATTATTCAAGAGGATAATCATTATTCCAGGGGAGGAAGGAAGGGAAGAATTTTAATGCCCACTAAAGATTAAGAGCACTGAACTTCCAGTTCCAACAATTGGTGGACTGACCTAAAGCAGACCTCCCCTTCAGCTACAATCAGGTAGAAAATCTGCAATACAGAAAATGTACATTGAAAACTAGCTTGAAAAAGAAAAGGAGAGGTTTCCTCTTTTCCCTCCTTCTACTCTGTCCCTTCTCCATTTCCTTCTTTTTGTTCATTTCTGCTCCACCTCATTCCTAAGGAATTTGAGACAATTCATCAAATGAATTCAATATAATTAAGAAAAATTTTAAAATAAAACAAAAACAAGGTGAATTTACTAGGAGCCATAAATAAAGAGAGTAAATTTAGAGCCTAGGAGGAGAGTTGTGGACATCCAGTGGGCCACAGGACCAAATGAAGAGACCAGGGGCTCAAAGCAGTGGTGCTAAAAGCTGATTTCCCAGTACATGGGACCTCAATGAAACATGACTACAAAAAGTGCCCACTGAACCAGGGAGACAAAGGAATCACGTCAGCCTGGAATACTGGGTGGACAGTTGGTGTGTTCTGGGTCTGTGTAAAAACCAGCTTCACACAGAAACTAACACTAACATTGAAAATTGTTACTTTAACCAATGTTTTTACATGTGTGTGAGATAGCAAGCCAGGCATGCTCTGTTCTAAGGAAGTCCTCTCATCACATAGATGTAAGAGGTCCTAGAGAGTACCAACCTGCAGTTCTACTAAAGCTATCGGGAAACCAGTAACTTCTACAAAGCCTTACCTTGATCGACTTCGATCCTTATTCCGATCTGAGCTCCTTTCTCGATCGCGGTCCCGATCTCTCTCTCGATCCCGGTCTCGATCTCTCTCTTTCGTCCGGTCACGATCCCTATCCCGTTCTCGTTCCCGCTCCCGTTCCTTCTCCTTTTCTCGTTCACGTTCTCTTTCCCTTTCTCGTTCCCGTTCTCGCCTTTCTCGTTCCCTTTCACGCTCCCTCTCTCTTTCTCTCCGTTCTTTCTCAATTTCCTGTCTTTCTTTTTCCTTTTTGCCTTTCTCTTCTTCCAGTTTCTAGAAACCAATAAAAGTACTTTTAGAGTTAATTCTGTAGCTCTAGTATTCAAATTTTTCCCGGCGCAATGCCCAACATTGGGAACAAAAAACCAAACCACTGGTACTTTAATATTAAATACTTGTGGTTTTACTTGACAAATTAAACTGAAGAAATTACAAGACTAGACAGATTTCGTGCAAAATCATATACTCTACACAGACCAGGAATCTCCAATCTTGGATGCTGGGAGACTATGTCAAGTGTGGCTGGCCAGTAACTAAAATAATTATGAGGAATGTGGTGGTTCATAATAATTTCTAGAAATACAATCACTTTGCTAAAATGTAATTCTTCCCATTATGAATTTCTGTAAATCAGTAGGACTACTGGATACTAATTATAACCCCAGACTTCCCATTATCTAAAGGTTACTAGTTGAAGGTTTTAAAGGGGATATGGGGGAGGAGAGTCAAGTCACTGTAATGCAACTAAATAATCTTCTGCACTCTGGTTTGCCCACCCTCCAAGAGACAAGCTGAATTCAGCCAAGATCTGACCTATTATCTATGGAAACATTTACTCCCACCATTACAAGATGGACAGCCCACCAAATACAAAAAGTTTGAAAATCACTCACTTCAAGCAAAAATGTACATAACTGTAATATTTTCATTTAACTTAATTTTAAAAGCAACATATTTATGCCCATTATTCCTATAAGACAATAAAAATATATCAACAGTGATAAATCCATCCTTGGAAGGAACGATTGTGTATTAACTTACAGATGTTGTGCTAGGACATGGATCGCCAACACTGGATTAACCTTGCCTACAAGCTATGTTTCTGGGAGGAAGAGCAAGTACATGGTTCACAAATAAACCAAATAACAAAGTCAGACCAAGTTTGTACCCTGACAAGATTACCAGTGTACCACACGGTTTCTACACAAACTCAGAAAAAAAATACCCCAAACAGGAAAAACAAAACAAAAACAAAACACATTTATCCTTTTGGTTTCATGTTTAGTGTCACCGAAATGAAATTTAAACTGCAACAATAAAATGTGCATTTTTTTTCTTTTCTCAGTCATGTAAAGCATTTAAAACAACTTTAAAAAGCAATCTTACCTGTTATACTTTTTCTCTTGCTCATGGATCAGAGAACTGATAGAGGATTATGAAAGAAAAGCTAATGCATGAGGAATCAATATATTCAGCTGCTGTGCCAGTCTATATCAAAGTAGAACATAGGCAAAGCTAATACTGAATACATTGAAATTACAAAGGTAAGAGAAAAGAAATGGAAACAGGACAGAAACTGAAAGCTATTTAAAGGGGAAAATTCTAATTTCTGAAACAGAGCTAATGGAATATAAAATTTATATTGTAAAATGAGGTTAGACTATATAAAACTTACCTCAGTGTCATACACTTATAAAGAAATTTGTTTATTTCTGAGATAATCAATACTTACAGATTATTTTAGCTGTTCCAATAATAATTTCTTTTGTAGAATTCCTCAATTTTTTTACTCACTTATTCACTGCACTACTTATTTCTTAGGTGTACAGTTCCACTTACATAAATAATAATTTGTTTCAGAACTCATTTCAAAAATTTTGTTTTAATTAAATGAAAAGTGAGTGAATCTGGTCCACATTAAATGCATTTCTAAAAGATTATATATGCAGTAAATAGATACACACACATATATATATTTTAAGACAAAGACTAGAGAAAGAAGAAATGAAGTGAATCTAAAAAGATATAAGAAAGTAATGAAATAACGAAGAGGAAAGGACAGAAAAAAAATCATAAATCTTACCTTATTCTCTCTTCAGACTCGTCCGTGCTGTAAATGGACGCCCCCTGCCACGCTGATACCCTGACAGTCTGTGGTTATTTAATAAACTCATACCAAAACATGCAAAGGTTCACTGAGCTCATTTTTTATTACTGGAGTTTCAAACATCCCCTTTAACCATACCACCCAATAAAAATAACTTTTTTTCTTTTTCATTTTGATTTCTTCTTAAAGCACATTTTGGAAATCCAAAACATTCACCCCGCAGTGAGGTTAAGTCTAAGGCTGTCAAATGCCTGACAGCTTCTCAAACTCTGAAGCAAATATTTTTGAAATAAATTTTTTTTAACACAATTTCCTCACACTTTATCAATGATATGACAGGAGTTAACAAATAACAACAAAAAGGGGGTAAACCACACACACAACTATATACCATTTTCAAGCTTACTCAGACCCTGAATTTGAGTATTGACCTAACCAAAAGTATTCCTCTAAAATGACTTCCCACAGACTACCTTTTTAACTCTCAAAATTAATTTGGGAGAACTACATTTGTGCTTTTAGACATTTAATTCCTGAAAAAGCACTGTGTATGTGAGCTAGGGCTGGGTGTCTGGATAAGTGTTCAGCAGCATTTATTCAATGGCATTAATTGTCAACTTGGGATTTTGAAAGATTTAAGAAAAAATAAGACTGAATAAAAGACAAAACGAACACTTAACATTTCACTGAGTTAAAGGTCACTCAGTCTTATAAGAACCAATAATATCTTATTATCTCTATCAAAATACATTTCATGCAGTGTTTGCACTTCACCGTCCGTAAGCATCACCTTCAACACCAGCAAACATTCACAGATGCACTGTCATTGAGAGAAGCTTTCAATAGGCAAAACTCGTGAGTGGGATTTACTATGCACAAATACCCATTTCCAAGCCAGTTACCCCTTTGCATATTTTTCTGAGGGGGCATCCATAAATATAATAAAAAACAGAAGCTCATACTTACATCCTATTCCTTGTTACTTTCCAAGCTGAGAGTTTCATCTTGCATTAGTCACCATATGATCTCTATCATAATGGTGGGGGTCAATGAATAGATTAGCTTTATGGGAATTTACAGTTCTTCCATGCATCTAAAATTTGGTAAGTCTGGTAACCACTGACCTACTTTTTAATATCTCCCCCTCTCAACTTAAATCTATACAAATATAAATCTTAAATTTTAATCTCGGCTCTAAAGAAAAGGTTTTCCTAAGATTAAGTTAAATAACTGTTCCCAGAAATACACTACAGTGTATGTTATCCTGCTGCCCCCTTGAATCTAGTTTAAATCTGACTTTGATGTTTATGTTGAAATCTAAAAATAATATTAACTTTTATTCATATTAAAGTGAGATGACTGTATAGTCAGTAACTGAAAAAACTAAGTACAATGTCAAGAACCACTTTAATATGGTATTGGTCTTCTGTTTGTTTCTATCTAAATTTCAATTAAACCTATAAAAAGCATTTAAAATTATATTCTACTGTAAGGTTTTTTTTTGTTTTTTTCTTTTTTGTTTTTTGTCTGTTTTGCTCTGGATTCTGTAAAAAGTCTAGATTGGTATTAAGTGAATAAACAAGAATACTACCTTGTGTGTGTCTCTGAATTTGCTGATCTCTCGGGATATCAGGTCTCTTTTGTCTTCTTCCATTTCTATAGCATTTATATCCTCCTAAAAGACAAGGGGGACAGAGGAGAACGTATAAAGAGCAATCCACATCAACACAAAAAGATAAAAACTAAAGGTTAGATATTCTGTATAGGTCTTAACAAAAGATAAGAGTAAATAAATAAGTAGAACTTTTATAGTAACAAATCTAATGACCTAAGGCGTGAAAAATCAAACGGACAAGAATCATAAAACTGGCAATTAGGAGTAAATCTAGTTATTGTCAAAGCCTACAATATAAACGAACCTTAGTGATGAGTGGATAAGGGATCAATGGGGCCACTGGAAATCTGCGGAAAATCTGCAGAAAAATCCAAAGATTTTTAAAAACAAACAAACGAAAGTTCACATTACTTGCAAAACAATGCTATGTTTATACTATAAGTAATGCTAGATTTCTGTGAGTTTCTTGATTTCAAATTACTTAATAATAAAAAAATGTTCACTACTCTCTATAACTCCTACCATTACCCACCACCTCCTCTCCCTCCAACTCCCTCATCTAATGAAATAAGGAGAGTCTCATGCTAGCAGGGCTTTTACCTTGATCCCCTCCAAGATATACAAAACAATTATACCAACAAAATTTACCTGCAATTCCTGCCATAGAAGCAGGATCTCTTTCATCCTCTCCTCCCAACCCATACCAACCAAATAGGTCTAGGTATTTTCTTCTTTCCTATTAATGAGGAAAGAAGAACAAACTCTATAGGCCTCAGTGACCCTAATATGTGACTAACTCTACCAATGAACATTCCCAGTGACTGGACCTTCACTAGACACGTTTTTTATGACCACATGAGGAACAAGTCAAGTAATAAATATGTATTTGGCCACAAAGAAAACTGAAGATGGCCTAATAAGGGAATCAAATCCAAAATAATATAAACCATGACTATCAGTTTATATTAAATCACAATATGTATGTTTTATAGTACTTTTTCATGGCATATACAATCCAAGCATATAACATACTTCCTTTTTTTTTTGGTGAGAAAGATTGGCCCTGAGCTTACATCTGTGCCAATCTTTCTCCTTTTTAGGTGTGGGACGCCACCACAGCATGGCTTGACGAGTGGTGTGTAGGTCTGCACCAGTGATCCAAACCAACAAACCCTGGGCCACCGAAGCAGAGCACACAAACCCAACCACTATGCTACCAGGCTGGCCCCATACTTGCAATATTTTAAAAAGAATTCCCCGTAATTTCTTTAAGTTTATCCAAAAGAACTAAGTATAAGAAAACCAAATGTTTTCTTTCAACCTTGACTTCCCACTGTTCAATCAGCTTAAGCTGACAAAGAGTGGTGATAATATAATACACTGGGGAGGAGTGTTTCATCTTGTGCTGCTCTTTCATAGTCCTCCAGTTAGAAGTTCAACAGCATTACTGTCCGTGGAGGGAAATGAGATGTGGCTTAGAAGCAAGTCAGCTAAAAATTAAAGAATCCATGAAAATACTTAGTGAAGGTGACCTGGCATCGTGCCTGGAGCAGGAACAGAACAACAATTAGGGAGTAAGGCAAACAAGGCCAGCCCCTTCATGGCCAAAGAAAATCAAAACCAAAAAAATCTTACTTTACACCCTTTAATATCAGTTCCTACTTCATCACTCAAGTTTTTTTTTCTTACTTAATTTGAATCCACAGATAAACACATGCTTCCATGCCAATGCATTTCAAACAAACAAAACAGGACTGTTTTCGTAAAAAAAATTAGGAAGTTAGTTGGTAAAACAGTCAAATTAGGCTTAAGAGTATATTGTTATAAATACTAGTCTTTTTGTTTTCCCCTCAAAAGCTGAAATGCAATGAAATCACTAAAATGACAGCATAAAAAGCAAACTGTAGAAATGACCCTGCTGTCAGAACTCAGTAACACATACGTCCTCCTTCTTCTCCTTCTTCTTCTTCCTGGGGTGAGAGTCTGACTCCTGTGAAGGGGCATTGAGCTCGCTGGAGTATTCACGTATTAAAACTTCAATGGCCCCTTTGATCATCTGATCTCTTCTCTTTGTTTCTTCATCTAAGGCTTCTTCATCATCATTAGTGACAGTTTCTGGCCTGGCATTCTTAAAAAAAGAACCAAGGCAAATTCAGGGTAGGAAGGGATAAAATCAAACAAGAAAATGAAAATCATTCTAAAACAAGAGTTAATACACAAAACAAACATGTTTTCTCCAAAACATCTAGGTAATCCTATTAAATGCATATGTGGTTTTATGCTTAACTTCACAAAACTTCATTTGTTTTATAGTTTTTTCCTTAGATACTGGTACTTTATCAACATCTTTTCTTTTCTTCTGTTGACAGCTAATATTCTGACCCCTAACCAGCTACAGAAAGATTAATTCATAGGACTAGCATACTACACAACACATCTGCAAAGCTTTCACAATTTTTCAGATTGTCTTGCTCAATACTTGCACAAAGTAATGATGTTCACTAAATAACTCATTCAACAGTTGAAAATTTAATTAGGTGAAAAAAGCAAAATACAATTTTACATACACTATAATAGCCACCATCTAAAATAAACAAAAGCATGTATAGGTTAAACATACAAAAAACACTAGACAGCACCAGATGATTGAATGATGGCTTCCTTTTTTCCCTCTGCTTTCTACAGTTTCTATAATGTGAGATACCACTTATAAAAATCTTACACTTACACACTAAGAATCAATCAACTCTAAATATCACACAAATCTTTCTCCCCATGACTTGCATATGTAACATTATAAAAAATAAATATGTAAAATTCATGTTTTAATACTTCTCACCAATAAGTAACTATTTGTAGGACTTTATTATTTTTTAAAAGAAGTCTAGATTGTGAAAAAAAAATTGCTGGCTTCTAGCATACTACTAGTTGTCTTATTTCTTAGTTTTATTTTAAGCCCCCTAGGTAAGGAATTAATCCAGTCGAACTACAAAATTTAGAGAGTGACCTCAAAACTTTGGATAATTTCAAGTTACTTTCAACTCCTCTCTTCTTAAAACTGAGAAAGAAAAGTATGACAAAGAAGCAACAAGATAAATATAAAGGTCTAAGTATACAAAAACTTTTGTAATTTAAAACTATATATATACATATACCCCAAAGTATTTATCGATTTACTTAATAAAAACATACTGTGCACATTTTCAGACACAAACAAAAACCAGCTCTTCTGCACAAATGCTGTCTCTTGGTCACAATGCATGCAACTTTATTTGGGGTGAATTTCATGCCTTGTGGCTCCTTAGTATAACCTAGCAGTGATTTCATAACTCAACCACCAGCATTGTGAAAGCTATCTCTAACGGATACTTATTCAACAAGCATTTATTTTTTAAATTAATTTGCTCAACAAATTCTTAAGAGCCTACTGGGTAGACAGGACACTACATGAGATGGCAAAAAATTCAAAATTGAAAAAAGAAATAACCTTGCCCTCAAGCATTTAACAATATAGCATAAGAGGTTATGACACAGATAAGTTCATTATAAGTCATTATGTGGTATTACACAATGGACCACTGTGAGTTTCTTACTTTCTCAGACCTCCCTCTTCATCCAATCTTCTTGTAGCCAACTTTCAACTCAGCATCTTGGACAAAGACAAGATGCTTTACCCAAGAACTGTAATTAAATTGTTAAAATTATTTACCAAAAATATTGTAAACTCTAATTGTGGTGATGTGTTCCTTTCTTAAATTAATAATATATCACAATAAAGTCATCATGCAACTTTCACTAAAACCCCTTCAGTGATACTCTGCTGCTCCATGGGTTTTAAGAATTAACCCTCCAGAATTTGTCACTAAAACTGTTGGTCCTGAAACACAGATGGCTATTTCAACTCAAACTCTCAGCAGCTGAGACCTCAATTCTTTATTATGAAAATATGCTTTATGAGATAGCATCCAGTCTGCCTTTAGCACTTTCCCTACAAACTAAATTCCTTTCCATGAATGTTCTACATCTCCATGCTTGTCTAAGTATAAGGACAGAAGTGGAGTTAGTAAATCCAAAGCCTACTCATCTAAAAATACCCACAGCCCCTAAATTCCCTACCACCACCATCCTACATCAAAATTTAAATATTACTGTAACTGGTCTTACCTAAATTACAAATAAAGCACTTGGAGTGAACTAATTCACACTACCTTGCGAATGACTATTGTCCCTTGATCTATGGAGAAAATGTACATTTTTAGAAGGAAAGTTTATTAGCCCAAATCTCTTAACTGATTGTTAATGTAAGAAAAATAAAAACAACTAGATTTATCATGGAAGGAAAAGTTATTTTTGGTTTCAACTTGAGCTCTACCTCTGGTTCCTCAACCATAAACAATTTCCTGAGTTCCGGTTTCTGCTTCTGTTTTAGAAACAGTGCATTCAATAATACTGAGCAGCAAAAGGTAAAGGGTTTAGCAGCACAAGAGGATCACAGAAATCAACTGAATATCTAAGGTGTTTATGTGGCCAACCTATTTGGCTCTTTTCAGAGGTATCAAAAGCTTCAATAGTAAAGCTACTGGTTGTAAAGCTGAAAGACAGCTCTTCTAGGCTCACTCTTTGGCACTGACTTCTAGAGTTCAAAACAAGGACTTCTTTGGGAACTGAAGCAAACACAGAGCTCTTTCTTCTGAGAAAACGTAGGCTCAATCAGACTAATTTCCAGGCAAAGATGTGAAGTTTTCCAGCATCTGTCCTTAATTAAAATGTAATACAAGCGGCTCTTTCCAGAGATTATCTGTACTTCCAACACTTGCCAGAATTCGTTCTTGAATGTGTAGTCAACAACTACTACTTGTGGCCATCAAACAGATAATCTACTCCTATATTGCTATTGCTGAACAGCCAGAAATCAACAGGACATAGATCAGATCAGCACAGCTACCTCAAATGAAATAGTCTTTGAAAACTATACTCAAATACTCAAAAAAGCTGCCTCTACAAATTCTGCAAAATCTAAATAAAAACATTCAAGTGAACTGTTAGACAGGCACATAATTCCTCTTAGAATTCTGGGTCAGGAAAATTATCTCACTCTTTCTAGAAAAACTTGTGTTTCTTTTTCAGTCAGAGAACTACACAACTAATTGTGTTTTCTCTTTTGCCTGAGAGTCAGGAAAACGCCTAAATAAAGTAACAGAAGTTTCTCAATGTCTCATTCTCAAATCATCCACTGTGGATCACTATTTTCTAAATCTCTCCAACAAATCAATAATAAAGGAGAAAAAACAAGTACCCTCTCATATTTTATCTTGAAAAATCATTGTAAACCTGTAATCTACTCCACAACAGTTATATTTATTTGGAAAAAAACATTTTTTTATCTGATAGAATTGCTAGACTTTTTCTTTTTATCAATATTGTTGAATAAAATTGACATTCCAGGAAAACATGCTGTTTGTCCTGTGATTTCAAGTACCTCTGGGCACCAAGCCAAGTATACCCAGAAGTCATGTCTGTTAATTTGAATTTCATTTGAAACAACTGTTCTGTTTTTGTGGGAGATGGCTTCAATTCCATTCTTGAAGACATAAACAAAATTGTGTTTCCTCTCGCTAACAATGATTACAGATTGAATCAAAGTCACACAATTGTGCATTTCCTTATTTATACAAATACACAGTGATTTGCCTCATGTACACCATTTGCAAAGGCTACAAATTAAACCACCTCACAAGCTAATGATTAAAACAGTCAAACGATGAGTCCCAGGGAATTCTACAATAAACTTTGAAGACACTGAATCCGTGCTTTATTTTTAAATAAGAATTCAGTTATCACAGCAAGGAAAATCTGAAAAGTCTCATTGCAGTTGTTCTTTTTTTTAAGGTTTTAGTGATGTGACAGACAATACTGCTGCTCTGAGATACAATTTATACTCTAGAGAAACTGCATTTTATCATTTCCTTATGTAATAGCTAGGTAAGGACAGTAAGATTATCAGGTGAGCAATATTACTGCAATTGTTATCCAATAAATGTTTATTCCATTCTTGCTATGAGCAAGAAGTTGTCCTAGGTTCTACGGAGGTACAAGATGAAGAGACACAGTCTGTGAACTTACTGTACTTTCTATCTTGCAATTAGAGAATGGAGGTGGATATGGGAATGAAATAGGGTACAAGGGGCTGTGAGAAATGGAGAGACACAAACAACATATACTACAGCGCAAATTAACATAACAGTAAAAAACTGCTTTATGTGGCAAGAGAGGATTTAATCCTGCCTGAGATGAACTGAGGGCAGGAATGATGAAAGCTATATGAATCAAATAACACTTTAATTATAACTATATGAATAGAATTTCAACAGGTAGCCTGGATGGACAACAGGGACATAAGATGTTAGCAAAGCACAAAGGAAGTTTGCAGGGATATATGACTGACATGGAACAGGATCGATGTGGGAAGCTAGAAAGGTAGAATGGAGCAAGCCTTGAATGCCATGCTAAGAATATGAGGCTTATACGGTAAGAAATTCAAAATTCTACTTATGTTTTAGAAATACAGGCAGTACTGCAACAGATGAGAGGAAACTAAACACAGAGAAATCAGTTAAAACATTACTAAAAATCTGAAGAAAGCTACAAGTGAATAAAGCTTGTTTAGGGGCCGGCCCAGTGGCACAGCAGTTAAGTGCACCCATTCCACTTCGGCTGCCCGGGGTTTGTCAGTTTGGATCCCGGGTGCAGACATGGCACCACTTGGCAAGTCATACTGTGGCAGGCGTCCCACATATAAAATGGAGGAAGATGAGCATGGATGTTAGCTAAGGAGCAGTCTTCCTCAGCAAAAGATGAGGACGGGCAGCAGATGTTAGCTCTGGGCTAAACTTCCTCAAAAATAAATAAACAAATAAATAAAATTTAAAAAGAAAAAAGTTTGTTTAAAAAACAATACTCAGAATTCAATCCTTTACTAAAGAAAAACAAATTCACATATTCCAATTAAAACTATATTCATCCAGGAGAGGGGGCTGAGCAAAATGGCGGGGTGAGCTGACCCGGGATTCTCTCCCCTCCAAAATACAACAAAAGTTTGGAAGAACTGAATTTCAGAGAATAAACATA